CCATGGGAGACCTGGATTTCATTATCAGCTCCTGGTTTGGAAGTGACCTAGTCCCCCGGCTGTTGTGGACATTTAGGGAGTGAACCAGCAGATGGAAGTACTCTGTCTCTCTTTCTCTCCTCTCTTTGTTCCCCCTCTCAAATAAACAAATAAATATTTTTAAAAAGAGTAAATACTAAAAATTTTTAATTAAATAAATGGTATAGATACTTTTGAAATTGCAACAGGTGCTTGATTATTATGCAAATTTTTAGATTCTTCTAAGAAATAAAATTCTTAGAATTTTCCCAGGCCCATGCCAGAACACATTGTTGAAAATCAGATTAAGTTTACCATATTCTTATTTTACAGGGCTAATAATAGAAATGTGTCAGAAACCAGAAAATCTCCCTATTCCGTTAGAAATCATTCCATAAAATGTTTGTTGGCTTTATAGATTGAAATCATTTCATTTGCATGTGCTTTTTCTACACAGTCAGTGCAGGAAGAAGTTTGCTCATGCAGAACCTTCTCCTGTTTCTGCCTCCAGCTGTCTGGTTTGGCAACAGCTCTAGATGTCTGTGAAAGTTACATAATGACTTCAGATGCTGATACTTGAATTGCTTGGGTATTTGCAATTTGTTTTATCTCTATGAATGCCTTAAAATGCATTCTATAAAAGATGATTTTGAGAAGCCCTTGGGTTCCTAGTCCCTAACTCGTAATATCTTATAAAGAAGTGGTGTTGGGGTTTTCTAACAGTGATTTCATGTTAGGATGAACCTCAGGTTCTAGAACTTTCATAGTAAAGTAGATTTTAAAAAAATTTCACTTCACTTAATTGAAAAGCAGAGACAGAGACAGACAGATATCTCTAATCCTCAAATGCCTACAATGTCCAGCTGGGTCAGGCTTAAGCCAAGAGCTGGGCACACCCTTCAGGTCTCCCATGTGGGTGGCGGCAGTGACCTGACAACTTGAGCTGTAACCTGTTGCCTACCAGATATGTTTTAGCTGGAAGCTGGAATCAGAATTGAAGCCAAGGCTTGATCTAGGCAGTCCAGTATGGGATGCAAGTGCCCCAAGTAGTGTCTTAACTTCTTTGCCAAATGCCGTGCCTAAAGGAGATCTTTGATAATCACTCTATTAAATCCCTTCATTTTATTGCTGAGGAAAACGAGGCCCAGTATATCCAAATGACCTGCCCATGTCCAACCAACAAGATACCGTGGTTCCAGAATAGAGGGCTTCCACTTCCATATTCTCAGTCCAGGGTCCCTTACATCTTGAACTTTGATGTACGTACAACTTTCTTGGAGAGCTTGTTGAAATGAAGAGTCTTATCCAGTAGTTTCTGCATTTCTGTTAACAAGCTCCAAGGAGATGCTTGAGGATGTTGGTCCAAGGACCATACTTTGAGTAATCGTAGCGTTTTAAACACTAATAAGTAACACTAAGAAAACTCCTCTCCCAAGTGAAGGCAAACAGATATAGCTGATAATTCCAAAAAGAATCAGCAAACCTTGAATGGTACTAGTATCAGTGCACCAAATATCGTATATGCTCTTATAATAGAATAAGCTGCCATCCCATAATTCTAGATTCCTACAAAACATCATGTTAGAAGTTCATAAATATTAGAAAAATGACTGGGTGAGATTTTTGACCCCATTTATGTCACATGCCCTCTGATCATCAAACTGGCATATTAGATGCCTAAATGACAGTTTTCTCTTACGGAACTCATAATTTCTCAGCTACTTGTGTATTTTATATATTAAATAAGGGTATTTCTCACCTTAAATGCTCTCTCTCTCTCTTTGTTTTCTTCTCTCTCTCATACACACATCCAGCCTATTCAAATATTTTACATTATATTCTTTATATGAAATGGATGACTCTATTATCAATGTAAGAATTTTTATTTTTATCAGGAATATAACAAATAAGATGAAATCATCTTCATAGAATATATCCTTAATTCTGGAATTACCTGCTTTAATAGACTATATGTCTGTATGGGTTTATAGTCCTGATTCAGAAATAAGTAAACAAATCAAAGCACCATTTACTTCAGAAATTATTTTATCAAGATAGATTATATGATGGCCAGCGCCACAGATCACTAGGCTAATTCTCCATCTGCAGCGCTGGCACACTGGGTTCTAGTCCTGGTCTGGATGCAGGATTCTGTCCCGGTTGCTCCTCTTCCAGTCCAGCTCTCTGCTGTGGCCCGGGAAGGCAGTGGAGGATGGCCCAAGTGCTTGGGCCCTGCACCTGCATGGGAGACCAGGAGAAGCACTTGGCTCCTGGCTTCGGATCGGCGCAGTGCGCCAGCAGTAGCGGCCATTTCGGGGGTGAACCAATGGCAAAGGAAGACCTTTCTTTCTGTCTCTCTCTCATGTCTAACTCTGCCTGTCAAAAACAAAAATAGATTATATGGAAAAATTTCCATTTTTGGCATATGTCTGTGAAGACATTCTTATTGAAGCATGTAGAATGATATTTTTTATAAGAAATGATCCAAACTCTCAAGTCAGTACTTTTAAGCTATTATTATTTTTCATAACATTTTATTTCAGTGTATTTTTTTAAATTTACAAAACAAAAATTGTGAGTTCCTTATTCACTATTTTCTCTAACTAGATCTTTCTTTTTTTCCTACAACAAAAATATTCTAAATGAAAATGATCTATTTATTTATCTAAAAGTTTTTTTTTTAATTTTTATTCGGTTGTTTGAGAAGCAACGACCAGAGAAAGAAAGAGTTTCCATCTACTGACTCACTCCAAATCCTCTCCCCAACAGCTGAAACTTGGAGCTAAAAACTCAATCTAGGTCTCCCACATGCATAGCAGTCCAGTTTCTTAAGCCATTGTCACTGCCTCCTAGGGTCTGATTAGCAGGAAGCTGGAGTCAGAAGCTGGAGCTGGGTGTAAACCCAGGTACTCCAGTACGGCATGCCAGCATCTTAACTGGTGTCTTAACTGGCTTGCCCCTCTTGAAAGTGTCTTGAAGAGTTCAAAAGCATTCTTTCAGTTCAAGATGTTTATCTTTAAGCTGACTGGTATTGTTGTTCGTCATCTGTGTTTAACAAGTACTCATGCAGCCCAAAGTCTGGAACTGCTGGTCTTTGATTTTGTAGCCATTCTTCATGAAGTAGGAAAATTACATGTACCAAATTACTTGGTAACATTTTTGGCATTTAGTTTGGTTTGAAGGGAAATAAAGAGAAATCATCCCTGTATTAGCAAAAGTGAATCGTTTTATTTGCATCTCTCTGATGTCCAAAAGTACTTATTTAATCTGCAGAAGAGTTTTATAAAATCAGTAGGTATGAAGGTGCTATCAGAGCAGAATTGTTAAGGTGCTTCGCATGATAGCTATTGTGCAGATGAGCGATTAATAACAAATATGGCTATAGGTGTTGAACATTCAAATAAAGATTTTTTTTTTCTGTATCACTTGCTTCTTAGATCATTTTGGTGACCTTATTTATTACAGCATGCTACTGGATAAAATTAATCAAGACCAAAATGCTTAGTTCCTAAGCAACAAATGGAGCAATTTTAAAGGACTTTCATATTTAATCACAGCCTCATTGCATAACCTTACAAAGAATAGGATATCAAGATTCTAGAAGCTTGATAGGTATAAGTGAATAAAAGGTAAATTTTTTATAATTTCAGTATGGATTTTACCTTAAATGCAGTGTGAAATCTATTAAGTACTTTGGTAGAGGAGTGGTTTTTTAATTTAAAGTCTTTGATTTGGGAAGATTGGATTAGTGATTTTGCAGTAAGAGAAATCTTCTACTGTATGTATTTCAGCATTAAAAATGAGACTTTATTTGTAGTGTCTTTTAAAAAAAAGGAATGTCATTTTTCTTGTCAATAATGACTAGAGCACAAAAGTCCTTGGCTTCTATTGTTTAGCAATGTAGCGTCAACTTATAAAATACCTATGACACAAATACAAAATTCATTGTATAGAAAAGAAAAAGCCCAGGATCACTTAATAGTAAAAGATATGAAAGATATGAATGGAACCACACAAGCCATTCTCAACTCCAGTGTTTCAACGTGGTAAGAATCAATGCTTAGTGTCAAAGGGAAAATGACAGCTACCCATGCCTCGTCACCCAGCTTCAACTTTAAACCTCACTGTAGTTAAATTCTAGCTAATCTTTTTGAAGACTGAAGCAAACAACAACAGCAAAAATATGTCACTGAGCGTTTTCATGGGACATGGTTTTCTAAGTGTTTTGTCTTGTCTTTTCTTTATGTTGTTCAGTACCAGCTCATTTTTAGGACTCTTCATATTCCATAGGAGGAAAATTGCCAGTCTGAAAGTTCAGTGTCTTTAGCATTCTATTGCTTATCACATTTTTGCCCTTTAGGTGCCAACCTGGATTCACTGGAGCAAGATGTACTGAGAATGTGCCCATGAAAGTCCAAAACCAAGAAAGTATGTTAAAATAATCTGAAATTTGCTTTCTCCCCCAAACTACAGCAACAATCACTGCCAACTTGGTGCTTTGACACCTCAGTCGCAACTGATTCCTTTTGTTCTAATTATGGTTTAATCACTCAGGGCATAAATCCATTCAATATCGATCTGGTTAACAACACGGATCACAAAGTGATAACAATTAAAAGAATGGCTTCTGGCCCCAGGATGCTCTCAACCAAGGCAGGCAAGCCAACCAAAAAGGCATTTTCTTCCCACATTTTTGACTAAAGCTCTCAAGAACGAAAGCAGTCACTTAAAATGCTGGGAACTTTCTATTCTACCAACCCAAGAACTACATTTCGTCTAAATTTTTTTCTTTTTTTTTTTTTTTTAACCATTTTGGGGAAATGCCAGAGACTGAAAGCCATGATTAGGAAGAAGACTCAGTTCCTGAGGGTGAACTCACCAAGTTCAGTCAAATGACACTGAAGGAGCTTCTTTCTAGCATATATTCACCTCTTCTCTTTTTCTCTGTTTTTTCTACCATTGTTTTTTGTTTCTTCTCTCAGGTGCCCAAATGAGTTTACTGGTGATCGCTGCCAAAACTACGTAATGGCCAGCTTCTACAGTACGTCCACTCCCTTTCTGTCTCTGCCTGAATAGGAGCATGCTCAGTCGGTGCTGCTTCCTTGTCGCTGCATCTCCCCTCAGATTCCACCTAGAGCTAGATGTTTGCCCAGGTCTAATATTGACTGCCTCTGCCTGTCGCATGAGAACATTAACAAACGCGATTGTATCACCTCCTCTATTCGTGACTAGTTGGCTCTAAGATACTAATAGGTGTGAGAGGCTCCAAATGTTTCTGAAGTTGCTATGGCATCATATGATATGAAATGATAGTCTACATGAGCAGTGAAATGATAATAAAGGTGTGTAAAAGTCTCACTGTTATTGATAAAATAAAATCATTCCACTGAACAGTCCATCTTCTTTATACACACAAAGGCATCCCGAGAAGGATGTCGCTAAGCTGTAACTAATATGCTGTTGAAGTGATGGTAAGTTACGTTTTGTTCAGAATGTGTTATTTATAACAAATAAACATAATGAAAAGAGTTCAGATGTTTCTCTTCATTAAGTAAACAGTTTGGGTTTAGCTATATAAAAAGCACGGATCAGGAAAATTAAAAACAAACATTTCACAGCAAATGAGATGTCCTTGCTTCAATTTACATTGCCTGGAAAACGAGCAATTAAGGACTAGTATAAACAGTCATTTCTTTATGTTAACATTGACTTCTGGAAGCATTTATTCATGTTAGTTTCAAAGGTACTTGTAGGAGAAAATAGTTATTTTAAAAATATTTATTAGTTTAAAAGATAAGAGTTCAATTCTCAAATATCCATTTTTATATGCAGAACTTGGAAATCCTGAAGGGTATCCGCGATTTGTGAAGCTTTGAACATCTTTACTAAGAGATCCAGTTCACATTGTATGTAATTGCTCAGATAAATAAGTCTGTATTTGTCTTTTTGTGAACTGGAATTATAGCTTTTGACTCTGGAACATTCAAAACATTGTATGTAAAGTGTGTTCCATGTAGGTATCCATTTAGATCAAGAGTTGGCACATTGATTCAGGTAGCAAATATTTCAGGGTTTACTGTGATACCCTCTCTGTCAGCCATTCAGCTGTACCATAGTAGCATGAAAGCAGCCGTGGGCAGTGTATCAGCTGATGTGCATGGCTGTATTCCATCAAATCTATTTTTACAACAACAGGCACTTGGATGAATTTGTCAACCTCTGATTACATTGTCAATTGCTAACCCTAAAAACTATTTCACATAGCTCATTGCAGTTTAAATTCACATAAGAAAACAGTGATGCAGGCTGGCCATTTGTTGGAACCTAAAAGAATCAGAGAATTACCCTTGCTGTGGTGCACACAAAGAGTAAGGTTCTATTAACTCATGTTAACTGTTGTGGAAGTCATCAGAATAAATTCTGTAATGCATTGTAGGGAGATGAGATCCATAAAACAATCATATATTTAGTGAGGTGGTAGCCAGCATGCCAAAGATTCTGTCATAGATTGTTTTCTGTTTAAAAAATCGATAAATTGCCACTTCTAAATTTTCAAATACAGTCTTCACTTTATTCACAAATTTTTAAATAATATGCATTTAGCAGGCAGAATTGTTCTCTCGATAGCTGTATATAAGTCAACTTTTTAAAGCATGTAGGATAGAAAGTCAAAATAGAAGGGAAAAATAGAATTGTGTTCAACACATAAGAGACATTATTTTTAGAAATGTGTGTTTGTATTCAAATAACATATGTTTAGCAAATCCTTACGATTACATAAATACAATAAAATAATATTTTACAATGTAATGAAAGTGCTGAACATGTCAGTTCTGAAGTTCTTGGTGTTACATAAAGCTTCACTATGCACTGAAGGCAGTGTTGGTGCACTGTAGAGAGCTCATTGAAAATGAAGAATGCTAGTGCAGTTAGGTCTGACAACAGACTTTCATAAGATAACATGAGAAGATAACCACTGTACCTGATGTCCACAATGGGACTCCTTAAATAAATCATTTGGAAAGCTTTCAGTGACACTTTTGGAGAACATCCAAGAAATTAGCATTCGTATTGAACTTGATTTCAGAAAGATTGATAGGAAGCACACTTAGGAACAAAATCTGTAGTGACTTTCACCATTGGTGCGTCATATCTGGAAGACCAGTAGTTTCCAATCAGAAAGTGCTTTCCAGTGTGGTCTCGCTCAGTTAGTTTTCCTTTCTTTTTTTAAAAAGATGTATTTATTTACTTGAAGGGCAGAGTTAGAGAGAGAGAGAGAGAGAGAGATCAATCTTCTATCCACTTGTTCAGTCCCCAGATGACTGCAACGGCCTGGAGGCTGAAGCTGGGAGCCAGGAGCTTCACCTGGGTCTCTCATGTGGGTGGCAGGGGCCAGCCCTTGGGTCATGCTCTGCTGCTTTCCAAGGCCATTAGCAGAGTGCTGGATTGGAAGTGGGGCAATCAGAACATGAACCAGTGCCTATTTGGGATGCTGGCGTCTCAGGCAGTGGCTCAACCCTCTATGCCACAATGTCAGCCCCAGTTTTCTAACCTCTATGTCTGATATTCTCAATTTTGATTTCTGAAAAATCCCTACAGAGAAGGTAGGAAAATAACATTTTGCTTCTCTAAGAACATACTATTCAAGTAGCCATGAAGGCTGAAAAGAGGATAGAGAATGTTGCTACAATAGTCAATTTAAATTTTTTAGACATAAATTTTAAGGGAAAAGATAGTCCCCAGGTTCAAAGAGAAACACTTAAAGCTTACCAAACCACATTTTCAGTTGGAGAGTGTCATTCTAAAAGAATGTAGTCCTTTTTTAAAAAATGATAACACATTGATTCTGATCAGAATGTCCTCTCAGGCATTTATTGATTTATGAAAACTGATTTAAAATATGAAAGAAAGCAGCAAATGTATATTTGATAAGGCGGCCAATTGCCTTTAAAGATAACATATTTATAGTGCTTTCTAGGAAAATACTGTCAAGCTTAGTCAGCTTCAAATTTGACCTCTGCTGACACAGAATTCCTTGTTGAAAGAACTGTGTCCATCCGTATGTGGTATACAGTGTGTGTGTGTGTGTGTGTGTGTAGTGACAATCAATAATTGATTTATAGACTTAATGGAAGAAAAAAGAAAAAGCATCTATAATGTCAATGGTCAGAGGTAGCGGGGAGTGTGTGTGTCATACACAAACTAATATATAATAGGAACTTATGACTGAATAACTCATTAATGAATATTATAAAAAAGTACAATTTTAGAGCTTTGGAGCGCATTGTCAAGATGAATAAACTTAGCAGATATCCTGAAAAGTCATTTTGAATCTTAAGTTACTAGCATATCAGTCATTTGCATGGATTTCGAAATGCTTTAAAAACATGCTGAGTCATGTATTTATCAAACATGTGTACCTTGCTAACAGTAGAATCAAGACATACTCCACTTAATGAAAAGTGATCATAAATTCAAACTGAGTGTGAATGGCTTTACAGTGTGTGTGTTTGTGAGAGTGCTCATGTGCACATGAAAACTGGGGAGTAAGGAGAAAGTCTTCCATCACATTTCAAAGGGCTCAGTGGCAATACGGATTGGTTTATGTGGAAATAAAATCTGCGTTTATAAAGGTAAGTCTAAAATTAAAGGTCAGACACTAAATCGATCCTGTTTAGGATCTGCATTAGCAGAACTCCTTTAGAAATCTCAAAGATGCAAAATGTCAAGACTATAAAACTTTATTGTACTTTGCATAAAAAGGCCCAAAATGTTAAAAGAGTAAAATCCTGAATGTCTTCAAATTGTAACAGAAACCATAATTGCATAGATGTATGATTCTGGCAAAAACAAGTTATGTTATTTTTCTCTAATGCAATTGAAAATTTAAATTAACCTATAGGTTAATCACTTTTCTTCAAACAATTATAAATCCTAAGGCAAAGGATTAGTGAGTCAATATTTAATAGTTTCTAAAGACTTAAATTTAAATTAATTTTTATATTGCTTAGGGCACAGCAGGAAATCACATGTAGGAAAGGAAAGTGAATTGTTTACAGTAACCTTTGTGTTTTTGAATTATTAATTTAATTTGAAAATTGTAATGGCTAGGCAGAAATTCAATAGGAAGCGTGTGATCCTAAGCCAACATATGATTAAATAGAACAGACAGAAAGTAAGAACCTCTTCATAGAACAGAAAGTGTTTGCATATTCCAGTGTTTTGACTCAGGATGAAAGAACCGTAGCTACCTAATGGTAACAACGAATTAGAGCAGAATTTGATCCAGGTCTAGTATGAGTGATGCATGTTTCCCCTGCTTGTTTCCTTGTTAGGGCTTATGGCCAGAAGAGATTCCAGATTTAAGTACCAATTTCCCCTTGAATTATTTAAAATTGGAGCTGCCTGATATGAATGACTTCCCATGAAATGAAATTATAGTTAGGCTCACAGACTTACCTATAAAACTGTAAATTCAGTAATATGTATGCATGGGCATGCTACTAATTTTATTGAAGACTTAACTAAGCTTTCTATGCAACTAATATAGATCATTAGCAGTGTTCATGTAGGCATGGAATAATGATTCTCTGGAAGGGGATTCATAAATATGTCTTGATTTTAACCCTTAAATTATTACTGACTGGTAGGAGGAAAAGGCAAGAAATGGATGGGATTCTAGAGAGAAAAATTGGGTCACATCGTTATGGAGATGAGTAAGGAAATTTATTGTCCAGCTTCCTTGGAAAAATGATTCTTTTCTTCACTTTGATGTTCCACGGTTTATATAAAGAAAGCAAATGGGGAAAAATGCCAATTTGACAAATTGAGTATTGCACAGAGGCAAGAGAAATTCATTTGGATTTGAATAAATTATTTTGCTGTACACATTTTGCAAACACATTTACCCTAAATCCCCTATTTTTAATTTATGAAAAATTTATGTTATTTATGTGAGTACCCTGGACCCAAGGCAGAGGAAACTATTATAAGTATAGGTAGTGCCTCCGTTATCATTATTACTTGATGCATTATTTTGATTTATTATTAATTATTATTATTTTAACCTGGGACACATGATTTCCTTAAGGGTAGTAAGCTTTCTTGGAAATATCCCAGGAAGTTTTAGAGTTTTGCTGTCCATGAAATTAGTCTACAGCGAACCTGCATGCAGTAGATGGCCCATGGTTCGTATCCTGAGGTGTGTTTCCTGAGCTGATAACCCCTTCAGCTGGTGGCCAAAATATTTCATGTGTCTTTTGTCCCAGAGTGCCCAGTGAGGCGTATGTTAGTATATGCGTTTTGTCAATGAGACAGTAATTTGTCCAAAGGCACTAAAAGGTAACTGACAGAGGCAGGACCTGAGACCAGGAGGACTCCGACACGCTTACCTCCTATTTTCCCCTGGCTACATGAAGTAGTTTCTCCGTGCTCTATCTGATGTTTTTGTAAGAGTAACACCCCTCCACTGCATTTTTCAAACTTAAGAGATGCTTTGTCATATTATCAGAGCGCCCTGATATCTTTCAAGTCAGTGATTCAGAGAATAAAATATAGACTTCCGTTTATATTCTGCCGCTTCTTCTCACCTGCCTCTCCACCACAAGCACACACACAAGGAAAAAGTGCTAGTCTTCCACATGACCAGCCTTGATTATCAGTTTTTGCTGCAAGAGTGTTAAGTGTTATTCTTTTTGGAGAATTTCTCCCTTGCCTCATTACCTCATGTGAGCCTGGATAAGTTCGAGTCCCTGCGGTCTTGGGGCTCCAGAGTCAAGTGCTAGGTTAAGGGCTCAAGCCTTCAGTCCCCATTCCTGGGCAGCCCTGAGGTGCTTTCAGTTCCTGCACCCATGGACTCAGCACTGTGTAGAGATGGCTCTCTTGGTACTCAAGGGAGCTATGTCTCCCCCTCACAGCTCAACACGCTTATATAAAAAAAATTTTTAAATGAGGCATAGAGTTCTGCAATACCACACAAAAGAATATGAAAACACTTGGTTTCTATGAATGAAATATGTTAATCTAAGTGGTGCAGAAAGTGAAAATTCAGAGAAGGAAATAAAGCTAAATAAGATAAAGCTAAAGACAGACAAATAACCAAAAAAAAAAAAAAAAAAAAAAAAACAGGAAATAAGTCCATTGTGATAAGTTTTTCAGACCCAATTAGTATGCACTTGGCTTCTCTTCCCGGCTCTGCCACTGTATGGTTTGGGCAGAGAGTAGGGTGGAATAAACCCTCTTCCGCCTTAAAAAAAAAAAAAAAAAGTGGAATAATATCATATAACTTCAATGATTATAAAAGTATTTCTGTTGCTGAACAATGAGGTAATGTAGAGGACTGTCTAGCTGTATAACTTCTCCCTCAGTAACATCTTTTAAGGGTTAATAAAGACACAATGTGCTATTATTTGCACGTCTTCTAAAAAGTTCCCTATGTGGACTCGGGGGGGCGTACCTGAGCACTGCTTCATTAACCAGCCACCATTTGTCCTGTTCAGTGTGCACGCACAGAGAGCTGTAATAGTCATGTGTAATGTGTTTTGGAGTGCGGTGTATTGCTCTTTTCTGAAACTTTTTCCCTTTCTTTTTTTGTCAACTTTCTGCATTGGCAGAGCATCTTGGGATTGAATTTATGGGTATGGACCAATCATCATTCCTTTTAGCCTGCAGATTTTAGAGCCTAAGAGCTGAAATCTTTTTCCCTTCCTACTCTTACTTTTCAGTTCCTAACTAATTTCCTTTTTCTTTAGAAGGGATCATACAGCTATAACAATGATTTCTCTGCTCTCAATCTATGATTAGTCTACCAAAATGGCACTGAGTGCAGCAGGTGTGAGATTCCCAAGCTTCTAGAGTTCCAAATCACCTCACCTGCTGCAAGTTGACATACAGCCCACTTTGTTTGATTGGATCTGTCTATGCTGTTATTTCAAGCCAGGGTAAGTTGGAGTGTGGTCCATAAGGCTACAGGGGAAACCAAAGCAGGGGACTTAGAACAAAAGAAACTGTAAAGATGCATCCCTTAAAAAACATGCCACATCTTGGATAGGAGTTTGACATCGAATATAAAAATTATCTGTTTAGTAACCTAGAAAGCCTTTCAACTGCAATATTAGATGTGCAGACTTGAAGTACTCAGAAATGCTGCAGATATTCAAGTCTGACTCTAGTCAACCTCATTATCTCATGAGCAGAGAAATAGGCAAACGGAAAGAAAGAAGCTTTGTGCTATGTTAGCTGGAAATTGAGGAGCTAATGGAATTACATTTGAGTAACTAGGATTATCCAGACAGGTCATCCAATAGAAATATTCACACTGTAACCATGAAAACAAAATCTCCCGAGAGCACATGAAATCCAGGCACACATCTCCCGAAGACCTTCCCCCTCAACAGTGGGGAGAAAAGGCTGGAGTCGGGAGGAGCGGCCATCTGTGCTATCTTCCCAGTGACCCCGGCGCCCCACCAGCCTGAGCTGAATGCTGCCTGCAGCCCTGAGGTGGGCTCACGGGGCAGAAATGCACCTGCTCCCCACCCTGCTGGCTGCAGGGGCGACATGCAGCCTGGGCACCTGACCGCTGCTGCCTTCTCTTGGCCATGACAGCATGCTCTACCCCTAGTGGACTTTCCATAGTTCATGGGAAATGAGGCAGCTGCATGCTTGGGATGGAAGCTCAATGAACTGCCTACGCTTCCTTCCCCCAGCAAAAAGAAAAATAATTCCAGGAGAAAACTCTTCATTTGATGAGAAAATCCCCAAGTTTCTGTGGGTGGGGCGTTGTGCATCTCAGAATATCTTGTCAGAGTGGGAGCTCAATAGGGAGACCAACATCACCGTTGGGTTTTCTTGCCTCAGGATGAAAAGTAATCCCACTTCTGAAAAGGTTTACTGGCCTTTCCTGAAGGGAGGAAAGATATCTACCATCCCTCTCTTTTATCGTCAACAGCATATTCCTTGCTTTGTAGCTTAAGGGTCTGACTATAGAATTTAGTATTTCTGTTCCTGAAAAAGTTAAATAAGATAGTTCAGGTATCAGTAAAGTCTTCTAAGGATCAGTGAAGACAAAGGCACACTTTCCAGGGGCTCTGTGGCTCCAGGCTGGCCTGTGTATTAAACTACTTCACTGCATCCTTAAGAAAATCAGACCTTAAACATCCTTAAAAAAAGTGAGAAAGGCGAGGGCCTTGTCTCTTGGCCTGGCCAGCTGAGGCTGAGAAAGGGGCTTGATCTGATTCATGTAATGCACCAAACAGACCTTAGACTAACATATCAGAGACATCTCCCCTCTAGAGACAGACTCACAGATGGGACTGACTCATTCCTGCTGTTAGCACTGTCTCTGATTTGTGCCTGTCCTATGGACCCATTCACACAAGGAAAAAGGTAATATTAAAGGGGAAAAGAGCTAAAGGAACCCATTGCTTGTATCGTTTATCAAGTATGAGGGTACTTCAAAAAGTTCATGAAAAATGGAATTAAAAGGGTTCATTTTTGACGCCAAATATTTTGAACTCCATGCATAGGTTTCTTCATAACATGCATTTTCCACGAACTTTATGAAGACTCCCCGTATTTGTCCTTTCACACATTCATATGGGGACGGGTGTGGCTGCTCTAGCACAACCATGAAAAAGTCAAATGGAAATTTAGATGAGAAACTTGCAGTGTATTTAGTAAATGCTGATGCAGATACAGAGATTTAACCCCTCATCTGTATTCTGTGGGCCTTGTCTTTGGTTCATTTTAATTTTTTCACATTACCCTTTGACCTTTATTGAACTATCTTTTTATTTCCATGAAATAATCGTTTTACGGAAAACCATGTGTCTGCCTATATAACAAGCATGGGCAAGTCACTATATACCATTTGTTCATGAATCCAGCTGAATCTAGTCTTTATCATTAACAACCACTAGAAGAAATCTTGTCGGCAGACTCCCTGAGACTACATAACTTCGTTTTCCTCAATTTGGCCCATGCATATGTCCCCATTTTTGAAACTCACAGAAGCAGTGTCCCTGCTTTCTCTAACGATAGAATGTTAGGGTGTCAGGGAAAAAGTGTGGCTAAGACCTTGCCATTCCTGTAGGACAAGAAGTAGAGTCAGCAGAAGAGCGCAGAGTAAAGTAGGACCTCCAATTTGTTGGCAACCATATGCACACTCTTTGACAGCTCATTGCAGAAAAGGACAATGCTGGGCTTCCCCATTCCCGCGGAGGAGGGCAGCGGTGGGCGGGAGGGGTTGGGTGAGACCTCTGCTCCTTAGACATGTATGCTAAAGACTGATGGGGATGCCAAGGGCAAGAAGGGCGGCTGCAGTGGCATCAGCTCTCAGGTAACACCTGTTCAGAATGAGATCTCTGTCCTGTGGCTCTGGGGGCGGGGAGGCAGCAGACACGAGCAATTAACATGTCAGCACTTACACTCCATGTCCTCGTTTGACTTCTGCGGCGCAAAACACCGCGACACCAGCTCTGTGTCTTCTGGTCCAATGCACCAGCTGCTTTGCTTTCTAATTGTGGCTTCCACACAACCGCTAGCCCAGGTTAGGCGTTATGCTGTATGGGATAACCCTTCCAACTCTGCATCCACCTCTTCTTCCCACCCCAGCATTTCCTCCTTCTGGTTTTCTTTGAGTTATTTATTTTTCCTCCCTTAGTATCAGGCATGCTGTGCCAGGGACCTCAGATGGCTCCTAATCTTTAACCTTGTTTTCCCTTGCACTTCACTTCCTCGCTCTCTCTGTCATTCTGTCAGTCTGTCTGTTCTCTTGGTTTGTTTTTCCTTTCCACTTCGAACCCTTTGGTTTGTTTTTGTATAATCTATGCAATATTCTGGTCTTTTACCTACTGACTTCTTTTTTCCTTCTCCTCCTGTTAATAATCAGTACTCTATTAATTTGATTTGACAATGTTCTTGACCTGTTAACTGGAATTTGATTATCATGGACTCGGCTTGTAGGAAACATTTTGTTTTTAATGATAAAGTCCACTGTATCATAAAAATTATAGTCCACTTTTTCATTTCAAGAAAAGTTTCTGGGAGTTGTCCTCTCTCAATGTTCTTTGGGGGTTCCTTGTTGATACCCAGACGAGACAGCTCCATTTATACAATAGTCCTAGTTCTAGACCAGCTTATTAATCTCAGTGGCAAGTAAACAGTTTATTTATTTTGTCATGCCTGAGTTCTCTTTCTGAGTGAACTTGTGAAGACCTTCCAATAAAAATAACCAGATCATTGGAAGTTCGGATCCTAAGGGATCAGGGTCCTCATTAAGTCAGCAAATCTTTTTAAGAACTTGACCTACCTTAATGTAATCAAGTTATCTCCCAAAGAAACTGACTTACAAATAGAAAAATTTCCATGAATTAGAGATTGATTGCAGTAACAGTACAGTAGTATCTTAAGCATCACACTTCCTTGGTATAGTGTACATTAGCTAATTTGCCAATGCAGGAATGTGCAGTCTCTTCCAAATTGTACGTCATTTGTGCGAATGACTTCTTCATACAAGTAAATTAGTTCTCTGAGTACAGTTGGTAAAGTAATAAGAATTGTCCTCCCAAGGACTCCCCTGCCTATTGCATTGGGCCTTCTATGATACAGTGCCCCACTGCTCTGTATTGTGTTGCTTCTTATGTTTCACCTGTTTTACTGCGAAAACAGGTATCCTGAGTCAATTGACTTGCTAACTACAAGCCAAGTTCATGTTTGCAAATGTCTTTGAATTTAATTTTTGTTTAAGTTAGAAATGACTCTTGTAAAGACCACTGGATAGCAAATGCTGATATAAAATATGTGGGAGCTACAAAGAAGTGAGAGACAAGGGGGTGAGGGAGGAGGGTCTCACAGGGCCAATTCCAGCTCTTTTCATTGGTGTGCATTCTTGTTGTCTTTGCAAGAGATTTTTATTTTCTTTGCAAGAGATTTCTTTAAAAAAAAAACCTACAGCATTTTAACCCAATAGTTATTTTATTATTAATGTTTATGTCTTGCCAGTTTGGTAGCACATATTTTTATATATCTATTGCTTAAAAGTAGAGTAATTTTAGAGTATTTTTATTGTAAGTGGCCTCAACTGGCTGTGTTATGGATGATCAAAGTGTAGTACAGAGCATGTTGTACCTTAGAAATGTGTGTAAGCGTAAAGAATTGCCATGTGTTTATTTTCTTGTGAACATGGACAGTGTCGTGCAGCATGCAACTGTCGGGTTGTAGTGCGTCCTGGCAAGTGTAGGTGACCTTTGGTGACATCTGCTTTCATCCCTTTCCAGAAGCAGAAGAGCTCTACCAGAAGAGGGTGCTGACCATAACTGGCATCTGCATCGCCCTGCTGGTGGTCGGCATCATGTGTGTGGTGGCCTACTGCAAAACCAAGTAAACCTTCCTCCTCCCGCTTTCCCCTCTCAGGGCAGAGATGCCATAGAAGGCCAGGGCTTTGCAGGAACCGAACCAGGCCCCACAGCCTAGTCTTGGGTTGGGGGAGGCTCCCTCCCTTATTTTTCTCCTTGAACTACTCATTGAAGACCTTTCCTAATGACATCCGTTGGAAAGCTTTGCCTATTTGTGTGACGGTACACCGAAGATTTGTGATACAGGACTTTAGCACCAGGAGTGGATAAAGGATTGGAGGAACAGGCTTATATTTCCTGGAGTGCCCCATAGGTTGGGGTGCAGGTGCCATGCATTATTTAGCTTTTCCTTATTACAATGAAATGCCTACGGCAACTAACTCTTTAAAGAGAAAAGGGTTATTTAGCTCCTAGTTTTGGAGGTTCGAGTCTCTAAGATTGAGAGGCCCCGTTGGTTTGGCCTCTGGGGAGAGCAGTTGGATGGCAGTGATGCAGTGTGAGCAGAGGAAGGATCATTTGGCCAGCCAGGGAGCAGAGAGAGTAGCCAAAAGGAGGCTTTCATAACTCATTAAATTATGAGAACTGCCTTCTGAGGGCACGCCCCCAGGTGGCTTAAGTCCCTCCCACTAAACCCCATGTCTTAAAGGTCCCTCTGACTCCTAAGAACACCACTCTGGGGGCTGTATAACACATGGACTTTTGAGGGACATCCAAATTAATATCCGAACCATAGCACATCCCATACCAAGAGGGAGGTGAGTCTATCACTGCTGAGGGCAAGTCTGATTTGCCCTAAACCTTAGGAGATGAAGGAAACGCTTGGCACTATTTGAATTTCAGTATTCCAACACTAATTATGCTGCAGCTCTGTCTAATTGTGTTGCCTGTACAAATGCTCTCAAAGTAAGAGGTAGCCAAAAGAAAGCTCGTGGGAAGGACACAAGCAAAACTTGCTTTAAAAAAATAAAAGGGAAAACATTCAAATAAATGTGTATTCACCATTTTTGACCCTTTAAGCTTGGTCTGTATTAATAAATACAATTACTTTCTGACACAAATTCCCTTCACTGTTTTCTCCTACATATAACTTCCACTTGAAATTTGAAGTAATGTTAAACTAACAAGGTTTTTGTGTTTTGTTTTCCGGATTTCTGGATTTTGGCTTCATGACATAATATTCTCTTGCCCAAACTAGCCATGACAATATTAGCTTGATCTGAATATTACAATAAGGAGCATAAATCTGCTTTTATGCCACAGAAACAAGGGTAATGATTGCATTTTCTCACTACCCCATGATTTTGGGTGTTGCCGGAATTAACTGATAGAGAAGAATCAATTTCATGAGTTTTATTCAATCCAAATTCAATATTCATTACGTATTAGGGTCATGTTACAATTATGCCCCAATCTATGGCAAAATCTGCCCATATTCTCACCCCTATGCATGTGCAGCATTCACACACATTGTGTATGAAATACAGATTCAAATTCAAGTTCACTTTCTTGAGAGACCCACAGGAGAAACGATAAATGGAATCAGCCTTATCAATTCCACAGCACAACTTGCTATCTAAAACAAATGACTATCTATAAAACTTCATGAAAGTGGATCGATTAGGCAAGTTGGGATTTTAGCCAAATACCAGCTTATTTGTTTCTCCATTTTTTGATCTTGCCCCTGGGTAAAACAGCCAAGTTTCTATAAGACACTCGTCTAGCTTTTACAATCTATTTGCTAAGGATGTGAGATTCCCCTCATTCTGAGCTGGAGCAGCACACACGCCCTCCCTTGTTCTTCAACACCAATCCACTGTCTTGAGTTATACTCATAGGTCTTGGGAGAATCAAGGTTTGGCTGTACTAGGAAATGCAAACAATAGAAAAAATAAGTATTCCCTTGTTCACATCCAGGAAACAGCGGAAAAAGCTTCATGACCGGCTTCGGCAGAGTCTTCGGTCAGAACGGAACAACATGGTGAACATAGCAAACGGGCCTCACCACCCCAACCCACCCCCAGAGAACGTGCAGCTGGTGAATGTATGTTGATTCTGGCCAGTGGAAAAATCCAAGTGTCTCTTCTCTGTTCGGGCGCCTTAACATTTATTTGCTAAAGCTCTTAGGCTCTTAGCTGCCGCCATTAATCACCATGGCTTCCAGGAATCCAGGGTTTTGCCAGGAGAAAATAATGGGAACATTTTTTTCAAGTAGATTTGGTTACTGTAAAACCAGCACATTTCCTCTTATAAAGTGTTCATTAGGATGTTGGAATAATAACGTAGGGTTTGCTCTGCAGAAAGGTCCTAACTGGAAGGAAAAAAAAAAAAGGAAAGAAAAATAATAAAATTAATAACACAAGAATCAGAAGGAAAATTTTAAAATACAATTTAGAAATGCAGGCTACTCCAATCTATGACTGATTTAGTGCAGATAACAAGGCAAAGAGCTTAGGAGTTATTTTTATTAGGGGCACTTCACAGTGCCTGATGTTTTGGTGATCCTGATTGCCAAAGGACGAAGTCAGGGCATGGAAAGGCCAACTGTCTTACCAAATGTGCTTCTCAGTGGCAAAACCAGAAGAACATATTGCTTCCTTTATACCATGGTTCTTGCAACATGATGTCATGCCCTCCAGATGCAACATGTCCTTAATCATGCAAATATATATACATATTTGAACTTTAATCATCTATATCTATATCTATCTATCATCTATCTATCTATTTATCATCTATCTATGAACCTTACCAAGCACTAGGCTTTTCAATACAGTTAGTTCATAGAATATCAGATTGTGGGGCGCGTTTGCAGATCATCTTCCAAATCTCTCTTCTGTACAAGTAAAGGCCAGAGCTGGACTCCGTCCTCCTGGCTTTGGAGTATTGCTCTTCTTTATAGCGTAAGCCTCGTTCTTGTTTTCATTTCCCTCTGATGTATGTTTCCTAATAGACAAAGCTTGAAGATCGGATTGCACTGCCATTTCCTATACTATGAAAAATGTATGCAAGGGGTCTTCAAAAAGTTCACAGAAATGTGCATTATCTTTTGACTCCATGTTTCCCTGAGCTTTTTGAAGTACCTTCAGATTTTGAGGGGAGCAGATATGACATAGGCTTAAATCTGGAGTTGGTGACTTCTATTTTTAAAATTTTTTTTATTTTTTTATTTATTTGACAGATAAAGTTAGACAGTGAGAGAAAGAGACAGAGAGAAAGGTCTTCCTTCCATTGGTTCACCCCCCAAATGGCCGCAGCTACGCCTATCCAAATCCAGGAGCCAGGTGCTTCTCCTGGTCTCCTATGGGGTGCAGGGCCCAAGCACTTGGGCCATCCTCCACTGCCCTCACAGGCCACAGCAGAGAGCCGGACTGAAAGAGGAGCAACTGGGACTAGAACCCGGGGCCCATATGGGATGCCGGTTCTGCAGGCGGAGGATTAACCAAGTGAGCCACGGCGCCGGCCCCTGGTGATTTCTAAACTACCAGTGAAACTTGTGGCAAAACAAGGGGTGACTAGGTTAACACACATTTTTTATTTTTTTCTCCTCATCATCTTCATCAAAATGTTCTGCGTAGTTGATACATGCATTCTCTCAAAGATAATTATAACCTATCATCATGTGACTTCTGATACTGGATGCTGAATTCCATTTTCCAACAATTTTTAAAACATTTATTTATTTATGTTGTTTGAAAGGCAGAGAGACAGAGACAGACAGATTTGAGAGATATCTGGTCTGCTCATTTACTCCACAAATGCTCACAACAGCCAGACCTGGGCCAGGCTGAAACCAGGACACTAGAACTCGTCTGTGTCTCCCACATGAGTGTCTGGACCCCACTACTTGAGCCATCACCTGAAACCTCCCAAGATTTGCATAAGTAGGAATGAGATAATCTACTTAAGACACTTAGTGCTGTGGTATTTAGTGAGGCTCAATAATTGTCAAATATTATTCTCAATATATTCGCCAAGCTTACGTGGCCTCCCAAGAAGCAAAAGTGAAACAGTGCAGGAGCTAGAAATGGGTCACTAAGTGTTTTCTTCTCAAGGCAAGCTGGCCGGAGTTCCCATGAGAAGCCCCGCTGAACAGCCTTTCCACTAGCAGAACCAGCAAAAGTTTCAACATAACTCAAGCTGTATGTTTTTGGGTTTCCAAGACTGCGTCAGGTGTTTTAGATTCCACAGTCCATCAGACTATAAAATGCCCTATGTCATTTAGGAGTATTATTTCTTTTCTCCTTTTCCCATTATTGTTGGTATAAACACTAGCAGCATTTAAAACACAACTCAAAAGGGGCCTCTCTTGTTGATAGAAAGTAGTAGTAGCTACTGTGGTTTGCTAATATAGAAACTACTTGCATTAAGTATAAGACCCTCTATGTAATGTGCTTTGTTGAGATGTGTGCCCTGGATAGCTATTCTAAGGCCTTTGAATGTCTCAGTAGCCTTGTGAGTCTTAGCGCTGACAACAGGTTTAAAATCTCAGTCACAGTAGGGCAACATGAGCACTAGGAATTGAAAGACAAAGGTAGATACAAAATATAGATATGAAAAATTATTTTCTAGGGAGTTGAAATTTAAAATAAGACAGACCATCTCTACACTTTTGTTGCACTCGACTATCTGTTAGTCTCCTTCAACTTGCTTCAGCCATGACAAAAATGAATATGGGACAGATATTTGTACTGAATTCTGGTCATACTACAATTGGAAATGAAATACAGAAAAAAAATGGGTATTTTTCTGATACAATGCAGCTGTGACTTTGGGTCCTATGACATCTGTGTGCACATATGGAGAGTAACTCATAAACTCCTGCCTGAGTAGCCAGAAGAGGATTTGTCATCTGGCTATTGGAGAAATGGGATTGATTACAAAGCAAGTGTGTAAGAGTAGATTTGTGTGTGCATAACAATGTTATTTTGACTTACATGAACCTTCAAGTTGTGTCTCTTTGTTTATCTAGCAATATGTGTCTAAAAATGTCATCTCCAGTGAGCACATTGTTGAGAGAGAAGCAGAGACATCTTTTTCCACCAGTCACTATACCTCGACAGCTCATCATTCCACCACTGTCACCCAGACTCCTAGTCACAGGTAGGAGAAAACAATCATTCCATGGCATTTTTCCCGGGCTGAAGTTTTACACATTGCCTTTTGCTATCACTGCCAAGGAAAGGAACAGGAGGCACTTGTGACCTCCTGAAATACATGGTCTTTGGACATGAACAAACTGCAGATATCAACTGGCCCTGCCTTTAATTGCTTTATAAATTTGAGGTTCCTTTTTTTCCATTACCAGAAAAAGGAAAATAATACCTACTTCACAGGATTGGTGGTCCCTATTCCAGAAATTATGTTTCCTCATGCCTGCTACCCACTGAATTGCCACGCTGGGAAAAGTCTGTCTTAGATTCTACACAATACTTAAAAGTTGACTTCTTTCAGTAATTGAACTGCCCTGGTAAATACGCACGAGAATTGATTAAATAGTTAAGTCCTAAATTCTCCGATGCCTAGTGATTTCAGTGCACTCTATCAAGAGGTGAAGAGAAAAGAAAAACAACAAAAGGTTTCTTTCATGTAAGCCACTCAAGAACAGAAATTGAAAGGGTCTTAGTACGTGGTGGTATTTGATAGATATCATTGCACAAGTGAACACATGAATAAAAGGTTTACAAAGCTAATCTGAATTAAGATTCTTTTTTTAAAAAATAGAGGTATTTATTTATTTATTTGAGAGCCAGAGTTAAAGAGAGAGGGGAAAAATAGAAAGAGAGAGCGTCTATCTGATGGTTCATTCCCCAAATGGTCACAATGGCCAGGGCTGGGCCAGGCTGAACCCAGGCGCCTAGAACTCCATCTGGGTCTCCACGTGCATAGCAGGGTTCTAAGTTCTTGGGCTGTATTCTGCTGCCTTCCCAAGTGCACTAACAGGCAGCTGGATTGGAAGTGGAGCAGCTGGACCTGAATCAGCACCCATATGGCATGCCAGGGTTTCAGTTGGTGACCCAACACACTGCGCCACAATGCTGGGCCCCAGCTTATCAAGATTCTTTGTAACAGTTCTGTTTATGGAAGCGAGCAGTGTTGTGGGCTATTGATGCATTAGTTGTTTGAAATATTTGCCAGAATCACTTCCTTTTCTTTTTATTTCTCCATATGATTTTTTGAAAAAATATCTCATTGCCTCTCACATTTTCCCCCTAGCTGGAGCAATGGACACACTGAGAGCATCATTTCGGAAAGCCACTCTGTAATCATGATGTCATCAGTAGAAAACAGTAGGCACAGCAGCCCAACAGGGGGCCCAAGAGGACGTCTTAATGGCTTGGGAGGCCCTCGAGAGTGTAACAGCTTCCTCAGGCATGCCAGAGAAACCCCTGACTCCTACCGAGACTCTCCTCATAGCGAAAGGTAAAACCGAAGGGCGAGGCTACAGCAGAGGAGACCTCAGGGAGAGGATGCTGGGAGCACCTGCAGTCTCACCTCAGGAATCTGTTGTTCTCAGGATAAGGGGCGGCGCTTGCCTGTTGTAGGAGTGCCCCTAGTTGATGAAGTCAGTTTTGTTTGACTGAACGCATTTCAGTCAAAAGGATTTGATGTGGAGAGTGCAGCAAATGTGGAGTTCCCAGCTGTGGCCGTAGGCTCAAACCCACTGCGGGGCTCAGCGTCCTCAGCTGTAGCATAGAAGAGATGGCATCATTGCTTATAAAGACCCTTCTATAAACCCACTGGGCCAGTTCACCAAATCCTAATAGGGTTGGTAGTCAGCTGGCTGTGTGGTCTCGAATGCTAACTTGGTCTGACCTTCTAACCTGTGAAATCAAATCAAGGGCTAAGTCACTGCTGACTGTCGCGGGCAAACAACTGTTTGCTTTCCTCCGTGTGTTATCTCTGCTCTGACCTTCCAAGAAGGGATGAATAAATACATCTCTTGTATGCTGCATCTGGCAGTCTCCACATGTAGTTTTCAAAGCAGATATTGCCTTTGATATGGGCCTTTATCCAAGAATGGTTGGCTTTCTTCTGTGGCAGATGGGTAGGGTTGGGTTGGGAAAAACAGCAAAAGTAAAATAAAAAATAGGGGAAAGTACACTGGAAAAGATGATAAATTAGGAATATTGAATTCATAGATTCTCCGTCCATTTTCACCTAAGTTGGAAGAGAGTGACACTCAACTGGTGTTTTAGCCCTTCAGGAAGCTGTTACCTGTTGGTTTTCAATTCCACTGAGTTTATTTTGTTATTATCAGCTCAGTCTCACTACTGAGAATTTAAATGTTTTAAATGATTAAAATGTTTAAATGATGGTTCAAATGATTTTAAATCCATATTTACTTGGTAGTTAAATGGGTATTGATGATTTTAATAGACGCTCTCCACTCATGAACTGAGATGTACCACAGCAAAGGATGACCCACTCTGGGCTAGCACCAGCTTATATGGAGCCTGCTGATGACTTCTTTAATGGTCTTTTCCCAAAATTGACATTTCAGAGCTATATGGAATGTATGAAATTAGAGATTTCCTTCCAACCCATTCATAAAATGGTATGGCAGGGTCCAATGCTGGTTTAAAATCTTAGCTTTAAATTCATGCAATTATATCATTATATATTAAGGAAGTCTGTCCCTCCTAATTCAATCTTGTGTGAAATATGAAAAGGAGGTGAGGGCTGAAATCTTTCTTCATCAGTACATGTGATGTTGGTCGGTAAAGGCTGACGCCTCCTTGCTCTGGTAGGATTTCTCACCTACCCCGTGTGTTATCTAGGGCTGAAAATACACCTGAGCTTGGCGGAAACAGAGTGAAAAGGCGAATCACTTGCATGTGCTGGTTGAGTTTGAATTAACATTTCCAGGAGAGCTTCACTTAAGTACTCCCAAAGTAAAAAGTCTGGAGACTCAAGCCCCAAATATTTCAGTTTCTGAGACGTGTTCCAATTTTAGATGCAGCTGAATCTCACACCCGTATCACTGTGACTCATGGGAAACAGGGAAGCTGACAGCCTTCCTTTCCCATCAGCTAGAGTTCAGGTGATGACATCCTGTGCCATCAAAGGTCATGTCAAATTAAACTCTGTGAACGCCAACGTGAAAAAAGAGTCGTGGGGTGCTATCCAGTGGTAACATTTGTATCAAAAGCTGAGAAATGTGACCTTAACATAAGCCACATCTTCCTCCATGCCCTCTTATCTGGGCTAAGAAAGCATGGTATGGTAAAAACAATGCAGTGCCCTGACGACCAGATTCACTGCATGGTGTTAGATAGGGCATGACCTAAGGGAACGTGGTAAAGCCGACCCCCGAGCAGTCGCAAGAGATTAATTGACCAAAGACTGGTGCAGAGATTGGACATGGACCCCAAGGTGGTAACTGCAGAGCCAACCCAAGGTTCTCTTAGGCTTTTCTTTGAATATCTTGGACACTGGGATGGATAGTTGCAAACTGGATGTTAACGAGTAGCATTTCATGGAAAAAAATTAAAAGCACACAAATGTATTACACTGTTATCAGGAATAAATCTAAGTTACTATGCTCTTTTTTTTTCATAAGACATAACCTTATAGCTGAGCTAAGGAGAAACAAGGCACACAGATCCAAATGCATGCAGATCCAGCTATCAGCAACTCATCTTAGATCTTCTTCCATTCCCCATTTGGGCTTCATTCTCTAAGACCCCTTGGCCTTTAGGAAGGTATAGTATTTAAGTAATACTTCTTTCCCTTCCAAATCCCTGAGCCTTGGTCCTTATAAACTGAGAGGTTTCCAGGACCTTTGGCCCTTTTGTCTTGGCTCACTTGCTTTTATTTAAAATCATAATGAGATTGGAAATCCCAAAAGTTTTGATGAGCTAGGCAATGTAGCTGATCTTTGCATGTACGCCCGCGAGGAAACTCTTGGCTGCATAATTGTAGATTCCAAGGGTGCTGAATTTCCTAGTGTAAAAATCAAAAGGGATGCAATGAATAGAAAATTCTTTGTTCTTTGATTATATAATATCTTGAACTCTGTCCCCTCACCCCCCCTGCCCTGTGCCTCTCATTCCACCACACTTATGCAGGGTATTCTGTGCTCACACAGGTATGTGTCAGCCATGACCACCCCGGCTCGTATGTCACCTGTAGATTTCCACACGCCAAGCTCCCCCAAATCGCCCCCTTCGGAAATGTCTCCGCCTGTGTCCAGCATGACGGTGTCCATGCCCTCCATGGCAGTCAGCCCCTTCGTGGAAGAAGAGAGACCCCTGCTTCTTGTGACTCCACCAAGGCTCCGGGAGAAGAAGTATGACCACCATCCTCAGCAATTCAACTCCTTCCACCACAACCCCGCGCATGAGAGTAACAGCCTTCCCCCCAGCCCCTTGAGGATAGTGGAGGATGAGGAGTACGAAACGACCCAGGAGTATGAGCCAGCTCAGGAGCCTGTTAAGAAACTCGCTAATAGCCGGCGAGCCAAAAGAACCAAGCCCAATGGCCACATTGCCAACAGGTCGGAGATGGACAGCAACACAAGCTCTGAGAACAGTGACTCAGAGAGTGAAACAGAGGATGAAAGAGTAGGTGAAGATACGCCTTTCCTGGGCATACAGAACCCCCTGGCCGCCAGTCTTGAGGCAGTACCTGCCTTCCGCCTGGCTGACAGCAGGACTAACCCAGCAGGCCGCTTCTCAACGCAGGAAGAAATCCAGGCCAGGCTGTCTAGTGTAATTGCTAACCAAGACCCTATTGCTGTATAAAACCTAATAAACACATAGATTCACCTGTAAAACTTTATTTTATATAATAAAGTATTCCACCTTAAATTAAACAATTTATTTTATTTTAGCAGTTCTGCAAATAGAAAACAGGAAAAAAACTTTTATAAATTAAATATATGTATGTAAAAATGTGTTATGTGCCATATGTAGCAATTTTTTACAGTATTTCAAAACGAGAAAGATATCAATGGTGCCTTTATGTTATGTTATGTCGAGAGCAAGTTTTGTACAGTTGCAATGATTGCTTTCCCACAGTATTTCAGCAAAGCGTCCCATATATTCAGTTTTTGCTGGCTTCTTGTGCATTGCATTATGATGTTGACTGGATGTATGATTTGCAAGACTTGCAACTGTCCCTCTGTTTGCTTGTAGTAGCACCCAACCAGTATGTCTTGTAATGGCACATCCATCCAAATACTCTTCTCTTTTGTACGAAATTTTCTTTGCTTTCAGAATATGAAATGAGTTGTGTCTACTCTGCCAGCCAACGGTTTGCTTCATTGGGCTCTGAGATAATAGTAGATCCAACAGCATGCTACTATTAAATACAGCAGGAAACTGCATTAAGTCTTGTTAAATATTAGGAAGAAAGTAATACTGTGATTTTTTAAAAAAAACTATATTATTAGTCTGAAGACAGCTTGCTCTTACTAAAAGGAGCTACCATTTTCTTTATTTTGATTTATTTTTTGTGACAAAAAGCAACAGTTTTAGGGATAACTTAGAAAATGGGTTCTGGCTTGCTGTCAGGGTAAATGTAATACCTTCCAAGAGGACTCAATTTCACTTTCTCTCCGGGGGAATGATCCAGAAGCTCATTGAAATCAAAACTGATAAAGGTGCAATCATCTCTGACTTGTACATTTCACTGATTTTGGAGCTAGAGATGGGTGTCAGCTCAGCTCAACAGGAGGCATGTCGCGGCACAAAAGGCCCAGTTCAGGCAGCACTGTTTAGTTTATCTGAAACACAGCTCGAGTGAAACGTGTCTGCTGTTTGTGGACGTGACGCCATTGTAGGGAAATATTTCCATCAGAGTTTTTAGGAGTAGACGCATAGAAGACACAGGTGAAGAGCAGCTGTGTGACTCAGTTGGTGTTTTAAAGCTTCATTGACCACTACTTTCTTCCCGTTGTTTTTCTCTTGTTTCCCAATGCTGCCTTGATTAAATCAAAACTATGCACCGACATTTTCGTCAGGAGTGGCCAGTGTGCGTGTGGTTTGTGATTACTGAGAACCTCCCACAAGGGATGACTCCTGAGGAAGTGTCAGTCGTGTTGGAAGGATTGCACCTTTACTTAAAGAGGTGACCCCCACCTGTGTTCTGACCTCTATATTTATAACCTATACCACTCCTTTTCCCGTTCTCTTAATTTTTGCTTAACTGTCACAAAGCAGGACTAAGATTAGTCTAAATTTTGCATGTTCTCATGGGATTGTAAATCCAAGGAAGGCCGATAGGCATTAATATTTGAAATAACTGCTAATTCAGGAAAATGAGTTTGAAAAAAGAAATGCTGAACCCATTTCACGCCCTGCCTGATTATCTACCAATCAAGGCTGGAGCTTTATAGAGGTTCCAAGTGGCTTCCTAGGAGCCAGGGGACAAAACAGGAAAATAGGAGTAATTGCTTTTTGTTTGCAGGTGAACTTCACCAAATCTTTATGTTAACAACTAATGGGAAGAAATGACATATAAGGAGGTCTTAGAAGAAAAATGCAGGCTGGGCATGAGTCATATCATTATGTTCCTACGTGTTTCTACAATCCACAGAGATGCCTGTCTGCTGGTCCGTGAAGTTGCTCTTATCGTTTGGTATCCCAGATTTCTGTCATTGTTCTTACTCCACTTGCTTTTTGCTCAACAGTGTCTTCCTCTGCTTTGATATCGACTCTGAGGAGCCCCGTCAGGTTGCATGGATTTCCCAGTTCTATAGAATTAGAAGCTCATGGCACGGGGAAGGAGACAGTCAGCCCAAAGAGGGCCTCTTAATTACTTTGGCATTCATTGCTTTTAAAGGCCGTGGTTCATTATTAGGTAATTCACTGAATAGATTCTCACATGAATTAAGAACCTTAAAAATTTTGTTTCAGATGCTTTGGACATTGGTGTATTCAGATGTCCCATCCTAAAATTTTTCAAGAATAAATAGAATCTTTCACGAAGAGACGGGAGCCGCGTTCTCCTCCGTCTTGAGAATAGCCGTGAATTTTCAAATTGCCGATGTCAATCAAAAATTTAGGACAAGAGGCAATTTTATCTCTAACTTCTTCTGGTCTTTCACAGAGGTGGCATGATGGTTGGGACAGCCTTTCTACCCAAAGAACAAGAGCTTCCCTGCACAGCCACCAGATCCATGTTCACAGGGACATCTCAGCAGTGCGACAGTGCTGTGTCCCTCGGAGCCATCCCTGTTTATTAAAAATTCAGACAGTACAATGGCACTTCAGAGGACTAGGGATCCATGTTCCCAGCAGGTGCAACGTTGTCTTGGGTGTTGAGATGGTGAGAATTGCTTAGGACATTTTCAGCAACTTTGTTACCTGGATCTGAAATCATATCCCACCAGGGTATGCAGTAGAATATAGCATTTGCAAAGCTCTTTTTCTCACTCACGATTCCTTTTCTGTCCTGTTTCCCCTCTTACCTGGTATGAATTGTTTTCTTCTCCAAGTATGTCCAGACAACCTTCTGCTTTCTGCAAAATGATACTCTGTGTAGGAGAATGTGTCCCCAACAGCAAGATGTCTTTTCTTGTATCAGTGTAACTGTCTTGATGTAGGTGGAGCCCATTCATGGTAACTTGCACAGTAACTACTCCTTTTTTCTTTTTTTGGCCTGGGTTGAAGGGTACATGGTTCACATTGGTGAAAGTAAGGAAGGCCTGACCTTACCTTGTAGTACTGGTTCCATTCCATCAGCCACAGAGATTTCCATCCTCCAAGACCCATGAAACACTGCAGAGAAATGCAGACGAAAAGAGATGGCCACATTTCACAAGTTCCATTATATATTCTTTTGTAAATACATATTGTACATTACTTGGATGTTTTCTTAAATCATTTATTGTCTTTATGAGTTAATGTCAGTTTTACTCTCTCAATTTACTGTGTAACATTGTAAATAACATAATGTCCTTTATTATTTATATTTAAGCATCTAACATAGAGAGAGTTGTTTTCATATAAGTTTAAGATAAATGTCAAAATATATGTTTTTTGTTTTCTTTACTTTAAAATTATGTATCTTTTCCTTTTTCTTTTTTTTTAAAGAATAATTTATTGTTCAGGAGAAAGAATGTATATGTAACTGAAACTATTTCAAGAATGCACATTTGAAGGCCGTGAGGTACTGATAAACTAAAGAATTTATTATCCAAAATACTAAGCAATAAGTAATTGTGATTTATTTAAAGTTCTGTTCATTTTCCATGAAAGACATACTGCAATAAAAACGCTACTCTGTGGAGACCGGGCAGTGTTGCTCAGCAGACTAATGTTTGAGTCTGTTCGACCAGCACCCTCCATCTTACTACAGTGTTGTACTCATTTGGGAATGTGTTCAGTGGACCCCATCACCATCTTGTCTGCCCATTGCTTGTGCCATTCTGCCTGTTTTTGAATCATCTTCTGACTACTGATTCTGTTGATCACTCTACTTCTTGATAAGGGGCCCCGCAGTCAAGCAATATGATGCCCCTCCCCCCACTGCAATACACAATAATATGTCAAAGAGAACATTTGAGGCCAGGACTGACTGCCTGGCTCCTGGTTGTCCATGTGTTCTGTAGTGACAGCAGGAAACGTCTTTATCTCATGAAAATGCTGATCCCATGCAGTCATGAGAGGTAGACCATGCAATCGTGGTTCAAATGGTCCAGTGGCCACAGTGGGCTCTAAGGCAACCATTTAGAATGTGCTTCAGTAACTTTCCTTTCCACTGGGCCCACAATTGACCAATGCATAGTTTAAAAAGAGGGTAAGGCTACGTTGAGTTCATTCCCCTCATCCTATCAATAAAATCAACCAACGTCATGCCCATCTTACTGCTCAGGGAGGGGCCTAGGTATGAGAAATTTCTCAAATTCTAAGACTCAGTCATAGAAATGAGGATATTACTTTTCTTATTGATCTTAACCTAATCAAAAGCCATATTTTAACTAATAGATATTTGCATGATACTTTTTATATATTTCAAGCATATATTTTACCCTTTATCTACATAGATTAAGAGGTGTGTGGAGGAGAGGCCAGCAATTCTTTGGGTCCACAGTAGCCTTCTTTGGAATGTGAAGGTAACCTGAGACTTCCGAGAAAAATCCACTTCCACTTCCTATCATCTAGTGATACCTCCGCTAGGGTCACCTCCAAACAGTCTGAGTGTCTGGGAGTTTTAAACTGTGGCCTTGACTCCATTAGTTTCCACTATACAGTGCTGAATTTTCAGAACCATTCAGAATCCTCACATTTCTGTCAACTTTGATTTGCAAACACACACAGATACACACCCTCCAAACAAATATCCTGAAGCCACCCAATTCTTTTAATTGTCCAAGAGTCATTGAGCCAGCCAGTCATGCAGCAGCTCTGACAATGCACAGAATATTTAAAAATACTGCGATGCAGTCCCCAGTTTATGCTGAGACTTTGTTCACCCTCCAAATCAAAAACTATGAACAGCCCTACAAACTCGCAATCTGTCTTCCCAACCTAATGTCTTCCAACTCATTACATTTCTTTACTCTCCTTAATGACGAATGGCCAAAGGACTTGATCTCAGGATTTGGCATTAAATGAAGCAGACCTGAAATCTAGAGGCAAGGTCCTGGAAGGAATGGAAATTTCTGATGATCTTATGTGAATCACCGAGTGCTACTCTCTCTCTCTCTCTCTCTCTCTCTTTGGCTTGTCCTCTCTGAAACAGATATAATAAAATACATTTACAGAAACTTACTCCAAAGGATTAACTTGGTGGGAAATAGAAATGTGTGTAGCTTTTGAATGACAGAACTTTGCTGTTGCTACAGGAAGCTACAGTATTTCCAACCTTTAAGGTTGTTGTTGGATAGGGTGGTTGTGCCCTTTCTGGCATGAATCTGTAGGTTCCTGTTGACATCCTGGTACTGTAATTGTTGGGCCTCTATGGTTAGCTGTTGGTTTTGAGCTTTAATGGAGTTTCAAAGCATCATCCACTGGGGGTATAGGAAAAAGATTTTGTTACCCAAAGGAAAACATCATGAACTACCAGATCATCTCACAAACAGGAGAAAACGACCACTAAATCCTAAAGCAGAGACAGAGAATGAGATAATAGTTCCACTCGTGGTCCTTTTTCAACCCTGTGCCTTCAAAAGGACTTACTGGGACAGAATTTGATTGAGGAAACGATACCTCTTCCCACTCCATATCATACCAAAAAGAGGCTAAAAAATTTACCTCTATTGAATTAAATTTTAATGGTTTATTTAGTTGCTCATATAGAGAGAAGAGAACTGTGAAATACAAATACCATTTTTTAAAATTTTATTTAAGGTATACAAATTTCCTGTACTTCATATATATATGAACATAGTGATACTTTCCATTCTACCCTCCCTACTACTACCCACACTCCCAAACATTTTCCACATGTCTCTCCTATTCCCACTGTTAATTTTTTACAAAAATCTAATTTAATTTTACTTTATCCTCATAAGATTAACCCTACAGTAAGTAAAGAGTTCAAGAAATTTTTAAGGGAAAAAAACACTGTTCCTCAACAGTAGAGACAAGGGCTGTGAACAGTCATTGAATCTCAAAATGTCAATTGCACTCCAATACATGACATTTTAGGTACTCTATTTATTACCAAAGATCAGGGAAATATAAATAACATTTTATAATAGTTCATGGCTTAAAACATGTTATTTTTAAAATTGTTTATCTCATGATTTCATAACTGATGAGGAGAATTAGGCTCAGGGAAGTTGAAACTCTAGGGAGTTGCAAGGGTAATACTGTACCCAGGATTGTTGAACACACATCCTGTTTCTTTCTCCCTTCTCCTCCCCTAGCCATGCATCACGCATGGACAGGTCTTTCATTTCCTGCCTTTATTTACATACACAGTGTAAGTTACACCTAAAACTAAGGTTCTTCAGGGACGACTATAAGCCCTTCTGGCTTCGGTGTACAGTGACTTTGGAAGCCTGTAGATTTCTAAGGAAATGAAATGTAGCCAGGAGAGTGAATTTGTAGTCTCAATGTATAGGTAGCATCCTCCAGAAAAAAGGAGGGGCTTTGTGGTCAGAGTTCTGTCCCCATCATGGAGCAACTTGGTGAATTGCAGATTTCTTGCCCACAGTTATTTACTGACCTCTAACTACAAGGCTGTGGCGCAGTAAGGATCAAATCTGAATTCACGTAAGGAAACCAGAAAATGTCTAAGACAGAGTAAATATTATCTTCCATTTGCTCCTTTCCCTCCAGGTTCTTAATTTTACAATTTAAATGCACTATGGTGCACAAACTGATCATCTAATTACATTTTATAATTTCTTCAACGTAGTATCAGTAAGCAAATTTTGAAAATAACAATTGTATGTTGAGAAGCCTAACCACCAAATAGCATTTAGAGCTGTAGCTTAAATGAGTGCCTCATGCATTTTATAATGCATTATAGGTACAGTTTGCTTCTTAGGTAGCCACACCCTTTCACATCTACTTTCTTTTAATGGCTTATTAGATGAATTTTGCATAATAATTTTACAGAAATCTTCTGAAACATGACTATTTTTATAGTTTTCATCCTCCCATCTTAAACTTCACTGCAGTCACCTAGGAGAACAATAACAACGTTATCTGAACCTGACCTGTATCTGAGTACACCTGTGCCTAAGTTTACACCAGGGTATTCAGACATACTCCACTTCCTTAAAATATAATCCCAGAAAAGACCTTCAGATGACAATCTTACAGGTGTTACATCTCAGATTGACCCTTTTTTAAAAAAGATATTTATTTATTTGAAAACCAGAGTTACCAAGACAGAGGTGAGACAGAGAGCAAGCTTCCAACAGATAATTCACTCTCCAAACACCTGTGATGGCCACAGCTGGCCCAGGTTGAAGTCAGGAACCTGGAACTCCATCCAGGTCTCCCACAAGGATGGCAAGGGCCCTACTAACCCACTGCACCATGAGGCCAGATTAATTGTAAAATATAAGTATCACAGAGCTGATGGGTGCTTGTCACTCATGTTCATTATCTATCCAGTAATTCTGGAGGAGCAGCCTGGACTAGAACCGGTGCCCATTTGGGATGCTGGTGCAACAGGTGGAGGATTAACCTACTGAGCCACGGTGGCAGCTCCAGATTTAATCTTTTAAAAGTCATCCTACAAGACTATACTTTCAGGGATAATTTCTATAGTTTGCTAAAAATCATCCTATATCAAGGCTGAGTGACTTGGTCTCATGATGTCAATCATCAGACTGGAGGTATAGGTATTGATAATGGTGAGAGAGGCATATACTTTTCCATCCATTAGCCTTCATTTAAATAAAATGTGTTTTTATTAACAACAATGGTAACTCTAGCTAACTATAAAAAATAATGCATAATGAAGTTTTAGGATTTTTTAAGGAAATCTAGATGTCAAGTTGTATCCTTCTAATTATTATCACCACAAATCGGGATAACACTGTCTTCCAGTTCCTGACTTTCATAAGTGATCCCCCCCCTTTTTTTTTGCCTTACCTTGAGCCCTGCTCTTGAAGTGAGATCTTTAGACAGCTTTTCTGGGGTCTGACGGCTTCATGCAAGGAGAGTTATCTGGAACCCTTCCGATTTCGTGCAGCTAAGCTTCATGCAAACTTCCCTTCTTCTTTAGAGGAAGGGGATTCCTCCTTGGCACATACTTGTGCAGCTAATAAGACAGCAGAGCTCCTTCCCCTTGGATCCCTGGCTTTCTCCGCCATGAAGACAGACAGAGAAAACACTGTGCGAGAACCACTTGTTACAGGCTCTCCGATTCCCTGTAACCAGGCTCCTTCCAACACTGAATGGTTCTTCCTTACACAGTAGGCTTCCCAGAAAGATTCCAATCTCCACTGAGGCTCACCTTTTCTGTGGAAAATAAAGATCTCTGTTAGTGAATCCTTCGATTGGAGCCCTTCTTTCCCCAGCATTTCTCTTCACTGGTACCTCTTTATTTCAAAATCCCCAAAGTTATAGTTCAATGCAACTTTATACTTTGAGTAAAAAGTTGTGTTGAAAAGGGATTTAAAGTAATTTCACTAAACTACAAAGTCCTCCTTGATTAGTTGTAGCCCCTTTAGATAGTTGTAGGGCAGAGTCACACATCATTACGTCTTTCCATGCATTGGTTGACCAAAAACTGTTGTACCACATGAAAAGATGCCAACTCCACCACGCATTTTGGACTCTGGTTTATGTGAGGAGTCAGATCTTAGCCAAGAATGTGAAGGGAAGGATGGTGGACCCTTCCTACTAAGGTGACAATGAGATTTGGGGCTCCACTCAGGGTCAACCCATGTCAATCACACAGCACAGCGGCTACTACGGGGAAATACCCCTCACCTGGTTGATAGAGCCAGACACACCGTAGGTCAGACCTGAGGAAAATTCTTTCTCCCTCCACATCTAGTGGGCAGTGGTGACTATACCACTGAAATGTCATATAAACGCAGCCCCACTTTCACACCCTCACTGCTTCTGCCCTTGCTCAAAGCCTCGTCATTCTCACGGGGCCCCATTAATCTCCTAATAGAGATGCTTCCTTCGGCTCCCCTGGGGCGGCCTTCTCATTCTGCTAGGAAGTTCTAACTTGCAAACCTTATCTTGTTGGTCTCTTGATTATATACCTTCCATGGCGCCTCATGAAGTTTAACAACTCAGCCTGATCTAGAAGGCCCCTTCACGGTCTCGCACCTGCCAAACCATTCGAGCTCACCCCTCGCCCTCATCCTCCATTCTGATCTTACAACTTCCTATTTTCCAAACACACCACACCAGTGTTTATCACACCTACTCATCGGCATACCCACTTCATGATTTTTGCCATACGCGTGTATCACCTGTATGATTTTTTTGCATATTGTTTTTTAATTGACTGCATTTTTAACTAAAATAAAGTCATTTCAAATAAAACTTTGTATCAATGCTGTGAATGGAAAACTGCAATCAGTTGCCATAATGAAAACAGAACTGTAAAAAATAAATATAATAAAAGCAAAAAAAACGTTACCAAGTTCTAACAAGATACCATTGCTTGCTAAACTCTCTGAGCTATAAGTCTGTTATTTGTTTGATGAACAAGGAGATCAGTGATTGTTAGGGAAAATCAATATATTTGGGAAATGCAGAAAGATTTATTCCTTGAGCTGGGCTGGACCGACAGGGAGGTAACGGTGGATTCACTTCTGTTTTGTTCAGTGTTATTTAATGCCTGTTCCTAAGATCACCTCGGATACGACATTCACTCACTCACGTATCTTAGGAAACACAGTACTGTGCTGGCTACACCCCTGCTCTTGTGCAGACACGTCCCTTCTACCAGAGCCCCCTTCTCCATTTTATCCTTTCTCTGCATAGAGTCTCCTTTGAAAGTCCTACTCGGACGAAATTCTACCTTTCCCAAGTGTTAAGTGCTCCTCTGAGCTATCTCTGTTCATCTCAAAATTTGTAATTACTTGGAGTTCCTCCCACAAAAGACTGTGCATTCTTTGACAGCAGAGACCTCATCTTAATTGTGTGGATCCAGTGCTAGTGTGGATCTAGGACAGAACTAAGAATGTGGTAGATGCTGGATGCCTAGAGAATAAATCACTGGCAGCTGGAGACTCGGTATATGTGCATAGAATTGCAAGCATGGAGGAATCTAGGTGATCATAGACATTTTTATTTTTGTCTTTTTAAAAACTTATTTATTTATTTGAAAGGCAGAGTTACTGGAGGTTGGGGATGGTGATACAAATATGTAGATTCTCTCTCCCTCTCTCTCTCTCTCTGTTCTTTCCACAAATGGCTGCAATGGCTGGAGCTAGGCCAGACTGAAGCCAGGAGCCAGGAACACTTGGACCACCTTCCACTACCTCCCAGGTGCATGAGCAGGAAGCTGGATCAGAAGTGGAACAGCCAGGACTTGAATCAGCCCTTCAATATGGGATGCCAGCTTAGCCTGCTGGGCTACTACACTGGCCCTAATAGGCATTTTTAAAGCCAAGATCAAGAAAAGAGTAGCTCAAGGTTGCTAAAACAAAACCAGAAATGTATGAATGAAACCAAGCTTGTCTCACCATGGTCCAAAACGCCAGAGGTCAGAGTCCAAGGGAGGGAGGCTTTGGCTTAGAGTAGATTCTGTAATGAACACCCGAGTACACCACACATACCTTCTGCACGCGGCGTGGTTCACTCCACCAAGAACCCTAGCTGAAAACTAACCTTCATCTCTCCTCTCCCTTCATCCCTCCAACTCCTTTGAAAAGTCCTGAAAATTAAGCCTTTTAGCTGAACTTTTCTCATTAGGTCGATCTTACAAGGAAATCTTCCCCATAGACCAGTGCATTATAACTCACTCAAGTCCCTAACCCTTTGAAAAGATACAGGGAGAGCCCTACACATAGCAAGCCCTCAACAAGTTTCTCAAATGCACAGATTGTGTTAAGCATCAAATCAAGACACTATGTATAGGGCTGGCATGTAAAATTATTAGGCTTGTCCATCTTCACCCACCTAACTAAAGGACGGTCTGGAAAGAGGAACTGACCACTCCTTACCTATTATCAGGCCATGCACCTGCTTGTGCGTTACAGCCTCTCGAGAGGATCTGAAGAGTAGTAGCTTGTGCTCTTTCTTGCCACATTCCAGTTTGGAAGCTGGCAGACATTATGTTCCTTTCCCCAGTGTTTTCATACACTAAAGGTACATGTGATGTGAAACACATGACATGAAACCAATGTCATCTAGGTTTGGATGCTCCTCTTGGGCAATTTGGGAAACTTAATATCAGTGAGATTCAGATTCGTTGTGGTGATTATATGAGATATGGGATGCAAACTCTTGCATAGTATGACACTATACAATAGATGATCAATCAATATAGTATCTTCATTTGGTGGCTAATTTCACGCAACTTGGCAGAGAGAAGGGGACAGAGTGTTTCCTAGTTTGGCCATCAGGTTAGCTTTGATTGGTCCTACCCCACCTGTGGGGGCATTCCCCTTGGGGAATCTAATTGAGCATTTGTCACTGGCAAGCCGGATTCCAGGCTGTACTGCCAGGAGAGAGTCCCATTTTGCTTAGCCAGCAACACCAAAACATAACAGCACAAACTCACTCAGAACTGAGTGAGCCCAGTAGAGCAGATGCTCATTTCTCCCTGAGAAGTAAACCATTTTTTGCAGATTCAGAAATGAGGCTGGTTTGCTCCATCCAATTAGCAGGAGCTAATTTCGATTTCAAGGTCGCTGTGTGCAACGTCCTCTTCCTTGACATGCCCAGAGCCTTGGCTGCACTCCCGCCCTGACTCTGTGGTTCACATCCCTGCGTGCACTGTCAACAATCACAGTTTCTGTTTTAGAGTTTGGTCTCCTGGTGATGTGCTGCAGTCCTCATTTTTAGGAAACTGGTGCTTGGCAAATGATGAAAGGTTTCGCAGATGATGAAGGTGATGGCACAGTTTTCTCCTGCTTTATGGCTTAATTTAATTAGATGGTCTGTAATAGCTCAACAGCAGAACTGAGCTGCAGAATGGGCTCCAATTTGCCCAACGGCAAGAGCAGAGCAAATAGGAGATGCGCTGGATGACTCATCAGCGGATGCTACATGCGATGCCTCCTTTTCTTTTCCGATGGGATCAGGCAAGGTGACTGAGAAAGCTTCCCTGGGAATAGACACCTGGTAACTTTGCATCTACAAGACCACTTTTAAAATATGCTTAGCATGAAGTAATCAGCAAAACCACTGTCTGACCTTGAAATGTTTCTGTGGCCACTGGACCTTGAAGAGGCTAATGGAGGCAGCGAAATCCAGCTGTCTGGGACTTTGATCAGCTCCGTCTGTCCCTCACAGCACAGCCAGGGCCTGAGTTAGCAACAGCTTCTCTGGGGCACGAGGCCCAGGCAGAGACGTTGGGAGACCCAGCTGGTAGTTCTTAATCTGGCACACCCCAGTTCCCACACGCTTTTGCAACATTTCAGATGTACACAAATTCTGAGATTTATTACCCTTATTGGGGACATGGAGCTTCATAGATTTTGTTAATCAAACAAAACAAACAAACAAACAAACAGCAACAACAACAAAATCCAAGGTCCTGAAGTCACAAAATGTTTTGGCAGCTCTGTTCAGGCTGGATAGAAAGGCACCCCCATGGGAGAAATGCTTCTCTCTGGTTCCATTTCATTTGTTATCTTCAGAAGGCAAGCAGGGAGGCATACCACATGGAGCGGGGCTATGTGATGGCGATTTGCTACTGCAAAGGAAATGAGGGAAGTTTGACAAGTGACAAATGAGTTCCTAAGAGACCACATGTAGTTGTGGGCATTTGGGAAGTGAACCAGAAGATGGAAACGCTCTCTTCATCTCTCTCTCTCTCTCTCTCTCTCTGCCACTCAAATACACAAAAAGGATTGAACAATCTTAAAGGAATAATGTTAGAATTACCTAATATATATAAAAACAAAGAAATTAGCACTACACAGAGTAATTGCCTAGTACAAGTTTTCATGGAAATTCGAAGGCACAGTGATAATGATTCTAGAAAGTTTCATGGGAGGGCTGAAAAGACAGCTGCTTCTGAAAGCTATCTTTCTGCTAGGTTTGAAAAGAGTCCCCCCTCCCTAAGAAGAGAATGAGGTAAAGACTATTACTGTACATTACTTTTCATGAGAAAACACCAGACAATCGAAAGAGCAGTCTTTTGAAGTTGGTGTGAAGGGGGCAAATGGTAGGTGGAATTTGGGGTCGACTCAATAGCTGATGTGGCTAGCTGTCACTAAATGTTGGAGGAAAGTGAATTTTGTCAGCACTGGTGGCGATTAATAAGGAGGGTGACACGTTCAGAAATGGATTTATAAAATCAATCTGAAGACTAAGACACTAAGGCAATGGCGTGGAGAGACACGGAGAGAATCTAGAGGCGGAGGTTGATTAGTCGATGAGTGATGACCGTCAGGCCCTGCTGTGGTTTAGTGTCAAGGAAGACAGAGACTAGGAGATGGCATGGAGGGGAAATAATGAGGTGTAAAGCAATAGAATAGATGACTAAGTGGACGTGTGGTGTGAGGTGGGAGAGGATCCAAGGATATCATTGAACTTGGGCTTTGAAAACGTTGCCAACACCTCTTTCTAGAAGTTTGGTAAGACATGCTTCATGTACTTGCAGAAGTCCAAGAAGGGGGAGCTAAGACAAGTTCAATACTCTGTTCATTCACGTAGTCAGACCTGTTTGTAGCTGTGGGCTACTGGTGCTCTGCTGTGCTAGCATTTGCCACTATAATGAGGCAGGGTTTATTATTCACATACTACCGGTGAGAAGTGGAAGCACAGTGATATTATGATTCGTGCCTAATGTCATGCAATCAGCAACTAGTGGAGTTGGAAATCAAGTGAGATTTGCCTAAAGCCAAAGCGCTGCTATTACAAGCTTCCTTCTCTCCGCTCCCTTAGCGAGCTGCCTACCTCACAGGACTCCTCCTTGAGAGCCATGGAATAGGATCACCTCTTCAAATGAAGACCATCCCTCTCTGTGGTAACAGATGACTTACTTTGGGCTAACAGCCGAGAGCAAATTCTGATTGAAGCCAGGTTGTGTTCCCATTTCAAGTGATTTATTCTAGAAGCAACATTCAACAAGCCAGGCATGAAACTCAGGCCCTCCCCCGTATCCATAGTCATTCATTCAGTCATCACTCTCTCATGCACTTACTATTGGTAGCATCCCACCATGGCTCTCTGCTGTGCTGGACCTGGGCCCGGCACCGGGTCAGCTCTTTGAGGATGTCTGAGATGTTGCCTTTCTGCACCTGGGCCACCTTCCACAGCAGGAGTTACCCCTTGGCACTCCGAAAATTCACGCTCCTTTACTGTGTCTCTCATGCCTGAAATTGCTGGAAATGCTACAGATCATTTGTCACTTAACATCTGAGGAACCGTGTTGAGATGTGCCCCATCAGTCTTCCAGGAAATTGAGTTTTAATCTCAAGTCAGCCTTCACAGGAAGTGGCAAACCTTGCTTGTCAGGGAGGACTGGACTTGCTAGCTTGCCAATGTGTGTGGATGCCTCAGGTGTGGCTGTTTTACCTCTGGAGCACTGTGGTTTGCAGAGTAAGTACTGCTGGACAGTTCTGGTCACCCAGGTATTGACGCATATTTTGACAAATAGGAAATTTTATTCCAAAGTAGGAGAAAGTAACTTGTGTGGCTATCAACATATAGCCACTGCTACAGATAATCAGATAAGCCTGACCACCGTGAATGAAAATCTTAGATTTCAAAGTTGAAGATCAGAGGGCAGCTTGATATATTTTCTGTATAAATCAGGGCAACTCTAAAGATTGGGTCAACTTATCTACTGCAGCACATACCACATTATATTATGCTTAGGTTTGCAGCTGACTTCCAGCTGGTTGTGAGACGTTGGGGATTATGCTGGATTCTCCTTTAGCCTTAATGCTTAGCACAGTGCCTGGAACTTAGACAGTCCTTAATAAATATTGCTTAGAGCTACTGCTGTAGGTTCAACTGTCGACAGGGACAATTATAAGGCTCCACAGAACAAAACAGCTTAATTTGTTCAAGATTCTTCTCTGTACTCCTCTTACTCAAGATGAATGGCAAAAGAATATATTTATAGAAGCATAAGATGGATGGTTTTCTTAATGAAGATGGATTATGGTAGTATAATATTGTTCTTTCATTGTACACCTAATATATCATCAAAGGAAAAAGCTCACTAAAGGAAAAATAGAAAGAATAACATTTGCTCCTTTCAATTACGGTAATGGGGACCTTCAGCTTAGCTAGGAGAGATTCAGTCGTGCCTGGGCATGTCTGTGGAATTGGTGGCAGCAGCTGCCAGCAGCTTGTTTGCATACGGATGGAGGGTCCTCTTGGGAGAGTTCTCACTCTGAAGGAAGAAGTTGCCTGGCAACAAGACTGTGACCCATGGAGACAGCCTTACCTAACAGAAGAGATGGAAGCCCGAGTGTATGTCATCTAGACCGTCTTCCAAATGATGGCGTGGATACATACCGCTGAGCTTCAACAGATGAAATCTGCTTTACTAATGCCTTTCTTAAACCCTGGTGCCCAGACCGAAACCTCCATGCAAGGGAGGCAGCCTCTCTCCCCCTACCTCTTTATGTTCCCTTCCTTCTTTTCTTCTTTTTTTTTTAAGATTTATTTATTTATTTATTTGAAAGTGAGAGTTACACGGAGAAAGGAGAGGCAGAGGAAGAGAAAGAAAAGAGGTCTTCCATCTGCTGATTCACTTTCCAGCGGCTGGACTGTGCCAATCTGAAGCCAGGAGCCAGGAGCTTCTTAGTCTCCCACGTGGGTGCAGGGGCCCAAGGACTTGGGCCATCTTCCACTGCTTTCCCAGGCCACAGCAGAGAGCTGGATCGGAAGTGGAGCAGCCAGGTCTCGAACTGGCACCCATATGGGATACCGGCGCTTCAGGCCAGGGCGTTAACTCACTGTGACACAGTGCCGGCCTCCTTCTTTCTTCTTCTTTAAAAAAAAAAAAAACTCAGAATAGTCACTACCTAAGAAATGGTTTTGGAGGGAAATGTTTGGCCCAGTGTTTAAGATACCAGTTGAGATGGCCATTGTCCCCCTGTAGGGCTGCCTAGGTTTGAATTCCAGCTTCCACTCTGGATTCCAACTTTTTGCTAATGTGGACCCTGGAAAGTAGCAAGTGAAAACTCAAGTGGTCAGGCCCCTGCCACCCACATGGGAGACGCAGATTGAATTCCCCAGGTCCTGGCTCCAGCCCTAGCCATTACAGACATTTGAGGAGTAAACTAGTAGATGGGAACTTATCTGTCTCTCTCTGTTTCTCTGCCTATCAAATAGACAAATAAATACATAATGCAGAGAAAGTGCTTCTGTTTAGCAAGTCAAAAACGTGTCTCTGATACTTAATGCAACCAGTAAGTATGCCATGTGCCCAAGAAATTGATCAGTCTTTGCCAGGGCTGGGAGAGACAGTGATGAGATGCTTGAAGCAAGCGTCAATGAGTGGCCATGTCGATTCTAGAAGGTTATCAAGGGATAAGAAATCAACAATGATACACTTAAATTTCAGTCTGTTTTGAGTACCAAGCCTTGACTCCAAATGAGTTTTTCCTTGAAGTCTGGGCTTCTCATTTAAGTTGAATTTCTTCCCACCTAAGGGGAAATCTCACACGTTTGTGGAATAGGAGCCAGATCCACACATTGCATAGAATGTGTTCTCCTTCTTGGTGTTGTACTTTTAGTTGCTGATCATGGACTGCTACATAAAGAAGTGAATTAGAATAGAATTTGAAAGGAATCAGTATTGCCAAATCCCTTTTATGTAACAGGTGATGACACAACATCTTATTTTATATAAATAACTGCCATCTTTACCAAATATAAAACATTTAATTTATCATATATACTTTAAAAAATTGAAAAGGCTCAGAGACAGAGACAAACAGACAGACAGACTTGCTCACTCCCCAGATGCCTCCAATGGCTGGGACTGGGCCAGGCCAAACAGAGACTAGAACTCAATCCAGGTGTCTTAGCCATTAGGTCAAATGCCCGCCCCAGTAAGCTTTCCTAGTTTATTTCCCCATAAGCCATTCTGAAAGTTGGTGACCTGTGTCATGAAAATTTTTGTGACATAAGAGTAAACCTGGAGCATTGTCAGATTTGCAGAAATGTCTCAGCTGATGAGTGAGATGAATCAGAGCCCAAGATATACACCTCAGTGTTTCTGTTCTATTTATGTTCTAACATTTATAACACAACTTAAATGTTCTAACAATATTTTAAAATTTGACTATACCAGCATCGGTATTGTGGCATAGAAAGTAAAGCTGCCTCTCACAGCGCCAGCATCCCATATGGGCTCTGGTGTGTGTCCCGGCTGCTTCATTTCCCATCCAGCTCCCTGCTAATGGCCTGGAAAAGGCAGCAGAAGATAGCCCAAGTGCTCACACCCCTGCTACCCATGTGGGAGACGTGGAAGAAGCTCCTGGCTCCTGGCTTCAGCCTGGCCTTTGTAGCCATCTAGGGAGTGAACCAGCTAATGGAGAATCAATCCCCCGACCCCCACTTCTCTCCCTGTAGCTCTGCCTTTCAAATTAATAAATAAATCTTCAGAAAAGACCATAGTGTTTACATCACAACATGCTACCTACCCAGAATTAGTCTTGCATATTTAAATAACGTGTACACTGGAGTAGTTAGCAGAGCCAGTCTGACCTTGAATTTATTCTGGATGATGCTGCAGTTACTGGGACTCTAATCACTGCACGAGGTGCCTACACCCCCATTTGGCAGTATGAAAAGCGACGTGTGTTCTGTGAGGGCAGGTGAGGATGGAAGCCTCAGGGCAACTTGTCCAGGACGTGAGGCTCAAGAAAAGCTGTCAGGACGTCAGGACATTTTTCCTTATTCTGGAACATGCTGAGCTACCACGTGCTTTGACTTAGGAAGCATTTTAGATGTGCCCAGATTCTACGTCAGTGTCCTGCCTGGGACATCTAGCCACACTCTAAGATGAACATTTTTTAAAAGCTGCTTCTCTAAAAGGGAAATGGAGCCACCGTTAGAGAATTACGGTAGTGCTTTAATAATTAGCTACTCTTGGCGATTACTGAATTCCCCCAAGGGCCATTTTTTTCTTCTCCCCTATGTCTCTCTGCTGAATTATTGTAACATAGGTACCAGGTGAGGGGATTCTCACCCACCAGAGACTGTGCTGTGTCTGAGACCCACTCACATTTCCAGCCCCTGGTGTCTGGTAGGATCCTCAATGTTATCCAGAAGAGACGACAACCCCTTCCTGCTGTCAGGTTGATGAAGGTGGCTTGCGGAGTTGGTTATTCACATATGATGTCCCAAGTGAGAGAAACAGAAATGTAGAAAATAGAAATGGACATTCTCACCATGAAAGCTGCTCTGTGACCTTGGTACTTCTAAGGCTTTCACACACTCTGGATTCTCTAAGACATTCCCCAAAGCAAGTCATCTCAGTCTTCAAAACACGTTATCTATAATTACGACTGTGTTTATATCAATGTCGACACCTCTGTGTTTGGGTTTTGGTGCCCATGATTTTTGGACTCACACTTTCACTGTTTTCTAGGCACCTGGTTTTCTCCATCACCACGGTGTGGATGCTACTACCCAGGTCACATGGCTCTTAGGAGGATCGGACCGGGCACATGGTAGATAGCAAGCAAGTTTGAAAATCTGAAAACTTCAGAAAGAACATTCATCAAAAACACTTGTATTCACTGGCAGACGAGCCTGTGTAACGTGTATATCCCAGGCTCTACAAGCTCAAATGAAAACTAACGTACGCTACCAGAAGTAACGGCAATGTATTGAGTGCTTCCTGTGAGCCAGATACCGTGTTAAGCACTTTGCAGTTTTATTTTAGAGATAAATCAGGTCTCGTGGGCTTGTGCTCTCAGCTGGACTAGTTGAATTCTGGTCTTATTCAGTGGCTTCCCAAATATTATGGAGAATTCCCATGAATATATTTTCATGTTCATGAGTTATGTTTTCTCCAAATTCTGTGTGCCTGTTTGAGAACTCGTGAGTGATCCTCAAAGCTAGACCAGTGCCCAATAGCTGTGTGTTGTAACTTATAAGAGATGCTGCTTTCAATGAGTCACTAGGTTGGTTTCAGGATCCGGAAGTGTTGCTGGAGCCACGGTGGAACCAGGATTTTACTCTTCCTGCTGTTACCTTTGAATGGCAATGAAACACAATCAGAAATCTCCCATCATGGTAGATGTTTGGTCTAGCAATTAAGCGACAGGTTAGGAGGCACACACCCCACTGTTTAGTACCTGGGTTCAGTTCCTTGCTGTGACTCCTGACATCAGCTTCCTACTAACGCACACCCTTGGAGGCAGCCATGATGGCTCAAGTAATCGGGTTCCTACAATCCATGTGGAAGATCAGAATTGAGTTCCCAGCTCTCGGCTTTGCTCTCACTTCCAGATGTTGTGGACATTTGGGGAGTGATACAGCATTTGAAAGCAGGCTCGCTCTCTCTCTCTCTCTCTCTCACTCTCTCTTTCTCTCTCTCTCAAATATATAAATAAAAAGTAACTTTTAGGCCGGCACTGTGGCTCATCAGGCTAATCCTCCGCCTTGTGGCGCTGGCACACCGGGTTCTAGTCCCGGTCGGGGCGCTGGATTCTGTCCCGGTTGCCCCTCTTCCAGGCCAGCTCTCTGCTGTGGCCAGGGAGTGCAGTGGAGGATGGCCCAAGTCCTTGGGCCCTGCACCCGCATGGGAGACCAGGATAAGTACCTGGCTCCTGCATTTGGATCAGCGCAATGTGCCGGCTGCAGCGCGCCAGCAGCGGCGGCCATTGGAGGGTGAACCAACGGCAAAAGGAAGACCTTTCTCTCTGTCTCTCTCTCACTGTCCACTCTGCCTGTCAAAAAAAAAGTAACTTTTAAAAAAAGGAAACCCACCTCTTCCCATCACTCCATCCAAAGGGTCCAGAATCCTACAGCACTGCCACAGCACATCCCTTGTGCTGGGAACTGATGGTCCCGGTCCCAGCCATCCCGTTAGCATCTGACTGCAGTTGACTGATCCTGCAGACAGGGGTACACTGGCAAAATGGGAAGAGGAGCGCCCCTTTTCCTGTGTTACACCCAGAGAGTCGAACTCTGTGGGTCCAACGGACCGTTGGTGGTACAATTCTTCCAGCTCACGAGCACGTGCAAACAGATACACAACTGAACATGCAAGCACACACACACACACACACACACACGCTCACTCCAGGGGAACTTTCCCCCAACCCTGCACAGAGTTCCAGGGGAAATGGGTAGAGGTTTGTTTGGGCTTACCTGGTACTTGGTTCTAGGTTACTGACGTCTCAGAAAACGCATTGCTTCGGGGCCTTCGTGGTCCTCCCGCTCACACCTCCTCTCAGGACTTCACTGCCTCCTCCAGGCGCCTATTCTCAGCAACTCCTACTTAGTCCATGAGACACTCTTGTTAATTTTTTCTACAATGTTTTATTTTGAAAGATGGAATACTCAACCTGCTCTAGACAATAAGTGTTAGAAAAAGATAATGTGTCGCAAAGTCTTTTATATACACTGCAATTCTAATAAAGCTTGAATGGACAGAACTTTACTGATTACTCCTCTTTTTATTAGAAGTAAGTCATACCGAGACTCACAAGCACACTAATCTGTGGCTTTTTATGTTTGCTGGGATAATGTTTCCAGGGGTAATGATTAGGAATGTGTTAATGCCACTGTTTGAAAAGGAGGAAGGGTGAGTCAAAACAAGAGTTTTACTACCAAATCCCTTGTTGAAACACAAGATCACGAACAACCTTTTTACTCCCGATAAAGTAAGAGACATATTGGAAGACTTATTAAACATATTTATAGCCATAATTTTAAATTGTCTTAGTGGTCTCCTGAAAAATGAATACTAATTATTAAAATATAAAAAATAAAAAGCAGCACCAAGCTTCCTGGTTCTTCCATTTAGTAAAATGTCACCACCTTCCTGCGTGTGGTAGCTGATTTCTCTACAAGCCAGTTAAGCGGCAATTCCTGCTTGAAATTCTGATTGGCTCATCATAGTGTGTGGTAAATACACACAGGGGATTTAAGGATGCTTAGTTTAATTCTGAGAACCTAAATGGGCCAGGTAATATATGGAAAAAAGGCTGTTATATTCAGATATAATTACCCTTCTTTCCATGCCACTCTGGCTGGAGGTCTGTGACTCTAATAAATCCTGCTTTTAAATCTCAAAAATAAAATAAAATAAAAGTACTCTCATAAAACATCTTGTCTGTATCTCTGGCAAATGGAGAATAATACTAAGAAGTATGATAAGCATTAGACTACACATTTGCAAAAACTTTTAATAAGATGAAAAATGACCAAAATATTTTAAGATTTAATGTAAAATTATTATCTATTTTTTAATGCCTTATTTATCTGAGAGTGAGCACGCTCTCATCTATTGGGTTACTACCCAAATTCCCTCAGCAGCTGGGGGCTGGTCCTGGGCTCAGGCAGGGAGCTGGGGACTCAGTCCATATCTCTTATTTAAATGGCAGGAATCAAATTACTTGAGCCATTTCTGTGGCCTCCCATGGATTTGCACAAACAAGAAGCTAGATTTAGGAACCTGCATTGTGGCCTTGTGTGTAGCAGATAAAGCTGCTGCAGCCAATGTCAGCATCCCATTTGTGCTGATTCCTGTTCCAGCTGCTCCACTTCTTATCCAGCTCCCTGCTAATGGCCTGGGAAAAGAAGCGGAGGATGGATGGCCCAAGTGTTTGGGCCACTACTACCCATGTGGGAGACCTGGATGAAGCTCCTGGCTCCTGGCTTTGGCCTGGCTCAGCCTTAGCCATTGCAGCCATCGCAGCCATCTGTGGAGTGAACCAGCAAATGGAAGACCTCTCTCTCTCTCTCTCTCTCTCTCTTTGTCTCTGTCTCTCACTCTCTCTTTGTAACTCTTTCAAAATAAATAAATAGTTTTTTAAAGAAAGCTAAGTTCAGGAGCTGGAGCTGGGGAGGAAGCTCTGGTACTGCTCCAACATAGGGCACGGCTGTCCTAACTGGTGTCTTCACTGATAGGCCAACTGCCACCCTCTCTCCATATTAATACTAACAAATGTGCATGTTGCATACTTCCATTATATACATGCATAGAAAAAACATGATAATATGATCCTGCAGAACAAATGAGTATTTCTAGATGATAGAATTATAGATGATATTTAATACCATATATTTAATTTTCTGCAATGAGTAGGCACTCATTTATAGTTGCAAATATAAATATTTTTATGGGAGAAAACTTAGCTCTGTTAGGATGTTTCTAGTTTGGTTTGAACTTGAGTGGACTTTGGGAAGGACTATCCTACTATTTTTTTAATTTTATATCCTCTCTTGAGTCTAAGCCTCGTATATTCTGTTTTGTTCATCCTTGTATTGGTGATCTGTAGATTGGCAGGTGGCAGGAAGAAGTGAAGCTATGGTGAGGAGCAAGGGTGGGCTCCTAGGTTAAGGAAGCAACATGAACAAATACCTAAGAGTGGCAAAGATCGCTGAGTCAGCAGGGGCCTGCAGCTAATTCTGCCTGGTCGAGGCAGAAGGGATTGAAGGGCAGTGGTGGGGAACCATGGGCCTCTGTATTGCAATAGCTCTGTGAGGCTTTTTTTTTCCTTCCGTTTTATTCATGAGAACTCTGAGGCTCCCTAATCTTAAGTAAGGTGTTCCAAGTTGCAGCATTGTAAGCAGGGTTGAGATTGGAACCCAGTGCTGTCCTGCCTCCAAACAGCCTTTTAAGCTCTCCTGTACTCCCTGAAGATCTGTGTGAGCAGAAGGTAACAGAATGTCTGTGACTTCTGAGATGATTGTGATCAATGGGGCATGACGCTGGGCAAAGCAGCGAAGCCCCCTTCTCACCTCTTCCCTGCGGGGACTCCGTGTGTTGCCTTTATGATACCTGCAACTCACATTCTCTGCACCTGTGGGTCAATGCACAGAACAGCCTTCGGAAAATATTGTTGCCTGGGAAGGGTAACCCAAGGCGTGAGTAATTTTTCTACGTGAGTTATCAGAAGAAATTGGGCACATTGCTTTCCTTTGGAATTCAATCATCCTTTATTGGTCATGTACAAGGCACCACTCACTGGGTAGCTCTTTGATACAGATCATGAGCAACACAGATACCACCTACCTCTTTCTTCTTAGAGAGACAGCCAAGGAAATGGAAGAGATCCCTTAGTTGCAGGTGGGAGGCGGTAGACAAAAAGGTTGGAAAGGAAGAGCAAAGAAGAAGAAAGAATCCCGGCAGAGAACAGGTGCAATGGAAGCCAGCACATCTTGGGGGCCCCGTGCTGTGGCAGGAGAGCGAGCAAAGAGCTCAAATGAGGAGCTCAAATGTCCTGGCCTTCACAGTGGAGATGGCCGTCCTTACACCAGCAAAGTTTCCTCTCTAGACAGCCTCAGTCTGCAGAGGATCAACAAGGTAGAACTTCAGCATGAATCTTGCTTGCATGAGAAAAATGAGCTTTGAATCATTAACAAGGCAATGGCTGTTACATACTAATGACACCATTTGCTGGTCCTCGCCTTTTTATATTAATGCACCCCATGGTGTGGACTGAATGATATAAAAATGATTACATGCTTTGGAGATATTTCTGGGTCTGATTGTTTTATGCCATGCACCACTTCTTTAGATTATGAATTAGCTAATAAATCTGTGTTTTTCCTAAGTTGTATGATTGAAAGCTCCTCTTCCTTCTTCTGTACCAAGTTAATGTAACTATCTCTGGTGACAGAAAATAAAGACTAAACCAGGGCCGCTAGTATGATTAGCTCCACACACACCAGGCCCCCAAAACTACCACTCATCACTCATCTTCCCTAATGACAGAAAGATTATGCCTGTAATATATGAATAATTTGTGCTAGACACAATATAATTTATCTCAGCTTGTAACACACTGCTTTGTGCAGCAAACCCAATAAATATTTATTTAAACATATTGATTATTCATATATTTTGAGCTGTATGTGAGAATCTAACCTAACAAAATAATTCTAAATGTGACAAAAAGTATCAAAGGATATTCACCATATCTGAAAGGAAAACCAAAGTATTTTTCCCAGTCTAGCTCTCACACAGCTCTCAAAGCTTCTGACATCAAAATGTGTGTCCGAAAGATAGAAAAGCTAAACTGCTTTTTTTTTCAATAGTCCAAAGGTCTTTTGTTTTTCATTTACACTTATTGTGCCATGAATTCTCAGGGAATTCTTAGGGAATGCGTTCCAGCACTCAGACTCCTTTCCGTTGTTCCTGACAAGGTGGACTGCTCTGGTGGGGCAGGCTGGTGCTCCGGCTGAACCTGGGGACCTTTCTCGTTGGCTTTCTCCTTTTTCTGCTCATTTTCCTTCACACATTTCAGGAAGCTGTCTGAGTTCTTAGACTGCTTAATATGCTCAATATGTACATTAATTTTTTTGGCCAGAATCTTGCCTTTAACTTGTTTGTTTGTGGACTCTTCCAATTTTACCATGCTAACATTAATGGGGCATTCCTTTCTGAACAGTACCCATCCCTTTAATGTCTACATCACCATTCTTATAGATGTGCCTGTATGTGGCCAAAGAAACATCCCCATGCTTTCTCTCTCTCTCTCTTTTAAAGATTTATTTATTTATTTGAAAGTCAAAGTTATGCAGAGCGAGAAGGAGAGACAGAGAGTGAGAAAGGTCTTCCATCTGCTGGTTCACTCCCCAGATGGCCACGACAGCCAGAGCTACACCGATCCAAAGCTAGGAGCCAGGAGCTTCCTCCAGGTCTCCCGCAGGGGTTCGGAGCCCAAGCACTTGGGCCATCTTCTATTGCTTTCCCAGGCCATAGCAGAGAGCTGGATCAGAAGTAGAGCAGCCGGGGTCAAACCAGGGCCCATATGGGATGCCGGCACTGCAGGCAGCGGCTTTACCTACTATGCCACAGCACCGGCCCCAACCCCACGCAAAATGAGTTTATGCTCCTACTGATGTCCGGATTTCTTTTTAAAAATTGTAATCCTGTGCCTATTTTTTTAAGATTTTCTTTCTTTATTTGAGCTGAAGAGTTACAGACAGAGAGAGGGAGAGAGAAAGAAAGGTCTTCAATCCG